ACATGATTATGATGATGATGAAAGGAAAAATTGCAAAAACCGTAAATTTGTAGTTACATCATATTATAAATTATATTTTGAAAATTCAGGTTTGTACGGAACCCTCGGTGCGTGAGTCCGACTCGCACTTGGTCGGTATTTTTTCGGGAATGGCTAATTATTATTACGCAGTCGCGCTGTGTGTAGACCAGCCCCTCTAGCATGACCACCGAAACGGGATATGATAAGCGCATTATCTGTCAGACTACTATGGAGTTTGACAGTAGTCTGACAGTCAATGTCATAAATATGACGGGATATGATAAGCGCATTATCTGTCAGACTACTATGGAGTTTGACAGTAGTCTGACAGTCAATGTCATATCCCGTTTCGGTGGTCATGCTAGAGGGGCTGGTCTACACACAGCGCGGCTGCGTAATAATAATTAGCCATTCCCGAAAAAATACCGACCAAGTGCGAGTCGGACTCACGCACCGAGGGTTCCGTACAAACCTGAATTTTCAAAATATTATTTATAATATGATATAACTACAAATTTACGGTTTTTGCACAACCCCTCCTCCTAGGCCTCCACAACAGAGATAAAAATAACCAAAGTTCTACTTTCTTGCATTTCGACCTTTAATTATTAAGGGGCGGAGGGGGTGGTGCAAAATATAAAAATCATTATTTCTTTAAGTTTCGTCTTTTTACATAGCACTCCGCTTGTTAAGTTAAAATAAACCTGTATTGGGAGGAAGCCGCATTCAGTTTATACACATACATGCAGTTAGGTACATTATAGCTTATACAATCAACAATGTATATATTACTAAATATAGTTAAATAGTAGGCAATGTTATATTGATCAATTGCAAATATACTTATGATGCGACTAATAATGTTACTAATATTACGAAAGTGTCGGTTTTTTTTTCTATCACAGAGTAATAAGAAGAGAAGAGTTGAGTTGGTTATTTATAAAACTGGTCTCAATAAATCCTCGGTTTCGTCGTAATTAGGCTTATTCAACCATGAGTGAACTACTCTTTTACATTGAATTAGTGACATCAGATATATATTCAGTTCACTATTTACCCTATTGTACAGAAATCCCAAAATCTACATGCAAAATGGGTGCAAATAGAGTGACCCGAAATGTCAGACTTTAAAAACGCTGTCGTTATATACCTCTACTCCTTTGTTGCTCTTGGACATCCACTTCACACCTCTACATCTGCCCCTGTTACCGAATTACGTTAGAACCAGAATTCATTTCCAGCTCATTCATCTTTCGCAAGAGTGAAACTAACCGAGACTTTTACTGAGTACCTACTTATTTTAGCGTTAAAGTTGGTAGATAGTGCATACTAATACTATATTTCTTTCCTGCATGGAACACTATTGCGTTCCACTTTTGTGAAATTATCTGTGTAGGTAGGTACGAACTTGGACTTAATAAGCAGAATTAAGAACGTTCACTGATATTTTATATAAAATCCAAAGCAATGCAATGCTGAAGTGAGCCTATTTCATAGATAAGAAATTTTAGATTACTACGAATTGTCCATTCGATTGAAAAATGGGTGATGTTAGAAAAATATCTTTATAAAAATATCCTTAAGTAATACAAGAAATAAGCTTGCTGTTCCAGTCTATTCAATAGACCTTTTTTTCACGCTTCGCCGCACCTAATGTGTTACAAAAATCTTTTTTGAAGTATCTACGACGTAAGTCAATGTCCCTACTAGTACTGGCCCTATGTATGGTATTGGAAGAATGGGCCGTGACCCACCACGCGTGCCCAATGCAGATTGGTGAGTGCAAATGCAGCTGGGACTAACGGCTTATTGTACCTGCCAAAGTACGGAGGAGCTATAATAAGCTTTTTGTCTACCCATACAATGATCAACTTTATACCCTACTAAATCCCAACAGTGCTCCCTTGTCTGCCGGAACGGGTTCCGTCGGATCCTGAGACAGCAAATTGCCCCTGTGCGCCGTGCTCTCGACAGAGAAACACAATGATGGCACGACGGGGTCGCCCCCTCCCTACTTGCGAATGCGATGCAGATAGCTGACGAAGTCATGCCCTGACAGCACCCTTGCATCAGACGTAAAGTCAGCGAAAGACTTTTGTCAATTTTTTTTCTTTTTTATGACTGTAAGATCGCATTTTACTGTTATTCAATTCATTTACTTTTGTTTCTATGTATTACTAGAGACTGAATCTAAGGTGAACTTAAGACCTATGGGCGTGTAAAGACAATATTCTTTTGCCATGACCAAGGGCTATGTGTAAAATTCGTAAGTCGCAACGCACTTTATTCGAGCGAACGGACTGCACTGCACATTGACGTTTATAGTCGATGCCTTTTAATTGCCGTCACGAAGTTGCTCAACCTGATATGCCGGACTGGCTATGCATAACACGGTTACCGTGCAGACAGCTCCTCATACCATAGTGGTGATTACACTAAAATCGTCACTTATCCTTATACAATATACCTAGTATGGTGCTAGGGGGAGTAAAATTAGTCAGAACTTTTGACTAGATTTGATAACTCCGCGTTAGAGTTCAGTTACGAAATTTTAGGAAATTCGAAGAACATTTTTGTTATATTTTATTTTGTTTCTGCCCTTTCTCATCATGCTGAATGAATCATGCTAAACCACAAATATCTTTGCACTATCAAAACACTCAAATCCTTGAAAGGGGCTTCTTATAGAATCCGGAACACAAACCGAAATACTACTTAAAAGTTGGTAAAGTTAATTAGGACAGGTAGAGCTTACTTTCCCATTATATTTAAGTTTTTGACAATCAAAAATAGCTTTATTGTTCACTATGATAATGTGGCCATGTACCCTAGCGAGCTCAATCACTTATCCCCATAAGTGATTGAGCTCGCTAGGGTATGGATGGCTTAAGCGATTTTTTTTCGGAAGCTGCATTGTGTGCGTTTTGAGAAAAAGCACAATGAAAAGATGAAGTTTGTATCTGCCGCATGAACATGAACCGATAAACAGGTGTGTACAACATTTTATTCACGTTTACCGTTATCGTAATACTCAGTTTTTAAAATATTGCAGCCTGGAAGCCTACATTGCTTCTTACTTTCTCGGGTGCAGTCTTATTTGATAAAGATGTTTTTCAAAATGTGAATCTGTATAAGTACTTACTTTTTATTAGCATGTCCTGTTTTGCATATGAATTTAACAGTATCGTAAATTTGTAAGACTGCGGATAGGGTTCACTACGCCACTGCGTAATACGTTTTACCTAATTATAATTCATCGATGGCACCTCGTCGACTGTCTAATAAATCGAAAGTTGATTCATCAATTGCTGAACATTTCGAAGATTGTTTGATCGACAGTTCGACACGTCACATTTCATCGAAATACTTTCTAGGTGCTGAATGTAAATTTCATCGCATGAAAATAAGCCTTATTTAATCGAATGCATGGATGGTACGTAAATTCCAGCAAAAAAATATCCAAGTTTACTATACGGTTACATTTTAGTCATTTTGTAAAACACTTTGTTTTAAATTATAAGTGTTATCAACAATATTTTTGGGTCACATTTTCAAAATGTGTAACATTGAGAAATATCGATATTATCGATGTAAAATATTTCGATAGTTTCACCGACAATCGAATTTTAGTATATGGAATGAATTATTTATCATTGAAATGTAATACCGACCCATAGTATTTCGATCATTTGAAGCATTAACTTTTTTAGTAGGTAATTCGATGAAATGAACTATGAGCGTAATATCATGCGGTTATGCTTCGCTTTAATCGACGAGGTATCATCGATGAATTTGGAATCGGTAAAACGTATTTCACAGCACCGCAGGGAACCAGATATAGGTTCGTGGATAAGGTCACCCGGTATCAAGCCGAAATTAAAAAAGACGGTTTTCTTCAAATCGATTTGAAAACCTAAATTAAAATGATGTGGCTTATATTTCGTTTTACCTTGATGCACTATTAAGGCGCTATTACAGCCAGTGGTGAATTTTGCCTAGAATCTGAAGGATCACTCATGGCCAAAACAGTACAATAGTATAATAACTTGGCTTCATGGCCAAGAGAGGCAAATATAATACCCCCTGCACCCTGACCACTTTGTAAAGTCAAAGTATATTAGGTATGTATTCGATAAATGCAGACACTCACTCATTTTCTGAGTCACAGCAGATGACCGACATGAGTAATAATTCAAAACTAATAACTTAATTCATCCTAGAAAAAAGACTACAACGAAAATCAACCAAAACAATCTGTGTCAATACATACCTAAATCATTTTTGATAATTCTCGGTAACACTGGCTTATCTAATCATATCTTATCTTTTAAATAATATCTTATTAACTTCGAATCAATTGAAAGTAAATCTTTTATTAGGTATAATTTCGATAAAGGAAGATTTAAAAAATTGCTTGCAATTCGTGTGCCACTTTTTAGCCTTTTATGGCCTCTAGTCGATTCTGGGCTTCGCATCGTGCCACGGCAACCACCTATCTAATGGATTAGATTGCAACTATAGTCCACCTAACCCTAACGTGTACCTTCCTCGTAACCTAACTCGTACTTTCCAGGTACAACAACTCTCTCGATTTACCCTCTATTATAAGATTTACCAGCGGGAACTCGATGAGACTCACCGCACATTACCTATACAAGACATTCAGAGCGACACCATCTTCCCGCATAGCCAGTCTTAATGATCCCCACTAGAAGAATGAAGATGTACTTTGGTTGATTTCCAATAAGGAACCAACTGCGCCGGCGTTATAACTGACATCCCAAATTCCTGATGTTTTAGTGGGCAGTCCAAAATTTCTTTAGATTATAAGGATTACTAATTTTGTTAATAAATAACAAATATACGCACACCGACATCACGAGTACTTAAAAAGATAAAGTGACCACTGATTACAGATTTATATCAGCAATTTATTTAGTATGTAATTAGTGGTTGTGACGTTAAGTTCAGTGACGGCAATGGCGGAAAAAGTGAAGAAGAAGCCATCTTTTTTCACCTTGAAAAGGTGGAACAGCCAAAAGATTAGCAATGGAGAGCCATCGCCACCTGCGATCACACAATCTGCACCAATTTACAAAAGCGTAAATAATCAAACTGCACAAACACCAAGCCCATCTTCTGAACCAAAACCTAGGAAGTAAGCTCACTACGATACATAATGTATTTTGAAATCAATTATATTAGAGGAAGATCCACAGCCCACAGCCTCCAATCGAAGCCCTGTTAACAAGTTTCTTGAAATGGGCGGAAGGGCCAGGCGTGCGCTACGAGAAAAATGATATTTCCTTCCTATAATCACAACAGGGCCAAATAAATACTTTGAAAAAATTATAAATGAACTTTTTGCTTAACTGAATTATGAATTACATAGTTTTTTGAGAAAAATCATGTGAATATTTAATATCCTGTGCACCTTAGTAGATGACTCTTTGTTTACTATTATTTCATTCTAAGAATTTAATGCAACAACATGTTTTATAATCAATACATTATTATCACCATTTTGTATTTTTTCTAAAGTTGATAAAACAGCGATGATATCTTTCGCAGCCTTTATTTGCCGACATGCGTCACAACTAAAATTTAAGTTAAAATTCCATATTTACCTAAACTTACTTAAATTTAAGGTTCGTTTAGCTTTAATTTGATTCCGGAGGCCAATTGTGTTTATTTTTTGACCACGAAAAAACCGCGGAAGAAGTTAAAATGAACTTTAACTTCTACCGCGGTCAACAAAGTATCTACCTATCTAATCTCTTTCCCAAATATCGGAATCGTGAAGCAGTAAAATTTTCGAACCCTCGGGTTCCTGTTTACAAAAAAAAATTGACTTTCATTTTCAATATTTAAGATCTGTCGCTTTGCAGACTGTCAGCTGGAGGTATACAGGACCTGGTACAATGTCCGCTGTGTTTGGAGGTCCTCCATAACGCGAAGATGTTACCCTGCCAACACACATTCTGTTTGGCCTGCCTCACTGTGTACATTGCTGGTTTGTGTTAATTTGATAATAAAACTGTTCGATTACAGCTCAGTTCTATTCTATAAGTACAAACTCACTTGTAACTGCGGAATCCGCGGTGGGATTTAAAATTAAAACACGAATATGAAATAAATAACAAATCACTCCAGCGAATTTCGCGGTGAATAGTGAGTTTATTCTTACATATAACACGGCTGTTCCCGAGTGTAAGACGAGTGCGTATAAGAATTATAGAAATTTTACATTATAGGCGAACGCTCCCGGTGAAAGAGCACGTCAACACAATTCGTTTGAGAAAAAGTCATGAGAAGCATCTCTTGATTTCATGTCCGCATCTTAATCCCCCGTATCTTTAAACCTTATACTTACGCTTTTAATACCTACTTTGTCTTAGATATTTTATGTATTTAAGTAAACAATAAAATCTATGTGTAACTTAAGCGATTTTCTAGTAACGACATCGCGACAATGTCAGCTGTTCTATGATATTTTCATAGATACAAAACCATTTTCATATTATTAAAGTAGTAAGTCAGGTACCACCTGATATTGATCCAATACCACCAATCAATTTCGGAATATTGAACCATAGCGTTGGTCGGTATTAGTAGATATGCAGCAAGCCCTAAAAAGATAGTTTTTACTGGTTTTCAGCAACTAGCAAATGTGTACACTGTTATATTTGCTCTCACTAATAGCGTTCTGCGTTTAATGTCTGCATCGTCCTTTAAACAATTAAAATTTGTCTACTTCCTAGAGATTGTGTCATCTAACCAGATAGGTGGTTCGAAGACTTAGCCTCGGATCTCAAAATAATAATTTAATTTTTATACTTTTTATTTTTAAGCATGTAACTACTTGATGTTAAATTCTAAAGAAAATATAACTAGAAAAAGAATCCATGCGGACCAGGCAGCAGACGGGACGTGAACCCGCACCCTTCGCTATCCGGGCGAATGCACTGACCAATTATGCTAGCATAAGCAATTACGGTAGCGGTAACGGCCGAAATTTTATTGTTTCTAAGGTCATGCCGATATCAACTAGAAATTTATTTTTTGCACTATAACGAAGTATAGTTACAGTACAATCTGTTATGTAACTTTAAATAAATATCGTCCTACAGATTTGCCAGTCATCAACTGTCCGATATGCAACGCGAAGATCCACGTGACCGGACCAAATTACGTGAACAATTTGCCGCCAAACCTCTACATCGATTCGTTGCTCCACCTAGTCGGTATCAACAAAGGGCTTTCGAGTAACGAGAAATCTGGTAGTCCAGCCGCTGTTACTCCACCTATTCAACTTCCTGTAACTTCTGAGTCGGGTGTCGAATTGTTTGCTGGAGGAACACGTTGCTCCCATTGTAAGAGCATGTGTGATAGCCATGATGTGACCAGCTGCCAACACTGCAAAATGGTGAGATTTCCTAGATATATCATAAACTCACGCTATTATTCCTCTTCCTGTAACTTCATAATCGGCTGTCTATTTGTTAGCCGTGGAACTCCCTGTTCTCGGTGTAAAAGCAAGTGTGATAACTATGATTTTTTTTGAATAAAACCTATCTATATCTCGTCATCATGCAGTAATAGTTGTAGTATATCTCATCGATAAATGAGCGGTCATCATCGTTAATTTATTATACGTAAATAGGCGATTGCCTGCCCAACTACTTACATCTTTTTTTCCGAAACTATTATAATCAGTAGAAGCTAATGATGTCTATCTTGAGAAAATAAGCAGAAATAGTATTCTATGTTCATCTTCTTCTTTGGATTGCACAAAGAAAATGACAGTTGAAGATAAAGTGGCACAACGGCACAACAAATAAAGGTTATTCCACTAATATTCCTATTTCTTTTATCCTACTAAATAATCCGTGTTAAACCAATGCCAGAAATACTTGAACGTTATTTATTGCTGTTTTTTTTGCACATATAGTATACTTACTTACCTAGATGATTTTACATTCCGTAAGAAAACGAAATGGCGAATTTGATCATTAACCTTTGCCTACTTATGAAACGCTACTTAGCTACTCACAATAAACGGTTTCCAAAAAAATATAGACTCAAAAACGTACGATACAAAACAGTAAAGAACATTTACCCTATTCGCGCGTGACCTATGACAATAGGTTACATACGCTATGCGCGCCGGGCTCTAGTTAAAAGTTGATGGTCTATTGTTTTTAGATGATTATCGTTTTTTATACAATGCCAAGCATATTATCTTCCCGATGATGATGTTAAGGGTGAGTGAATGCAAGACAGTTGCTAAGATTGATAGTAAAACTCCAGCCACACTCAACTTGCCGGCCTCTGGATCTCAGAGGCCCAAGCATGAATTTTTGACAGCTCCGTAATGTCTCGCATCGTCAAAGTTTTTGTGATACTAAGCAACATTTCTCTATTTAGGAACACGCGCTCTAATCTTTTCGCTCAATGAGCGTCAAATCTGCAATTCCCCACCTATATCCGTTGTCATAATCATCAACACCCTATTACTGTTCCCACTGCTGGGGCACATTCCATCCATATGAAAGGAATAGGGAAATTGGGCCATGACCCAGCGCGGGCTCGGTGTGGAATGGTGGGCACCAACGACTGCAGATGCAGCCGAGACCAATGGCTTAACGTGCCTTCCGAATCTCGAAGGAGCTTGAGATAATAAAATTTTGATCACCCAACCCGCCATTGCGAAAGTTGATAACCTTTCACAACCGCTAACTGGCACCATCGAGCTTCTCATATTCCGTATTCTACCTCCATCAAACTACCAAGATTCCTGCAATTACTAAAACACATTTTTTCCTACGTTTTCTGTAGGTGCTGATATTGGTGCTGTAGTATTCAATCAAAGCCTGTTGGCATACCGCCTAAAAATAAACCTAGGGGCATTTTGATGTTTTGGACATTTTCCTCATAATTTTAGCTTTTAACATTGTACCATCTTAAGACATGTCTAAATAACTTTATTTTATTAGATATTGTTATCCTAATGAATACATTTCTGATTTCAGAACTTCTGTCGGGTTTGCTGGTCCCAACATTTAGATGACATGAGAACTCAAATTGCCTCAATTTTAAAACAGCTGGATTCTGCCGCTGATAGACTAGAACATAAGATTGAACATTTCAAGGTAAAACATTCACTGGTGATTGAATGTAGACTATGAATTGAAAGAAAACTAATTTTGATTTATTTAATAACGATTTTATACCCTTGGTATTATTTTCATTTAGTTTTTTTTAATATTTTGCAATACGATAGATGACAACAATTTATTTTGTCTTTACCGCTGCTTATTTTAACCCACGCTCTTTAGTTGAGGTTATATTCGTAAGATAAATAGACAATTTCCTCGCAATACTGAAACTTGCTTGTAATTTTTTATCACACATTTCTCAATTCATATACTTATGGACATAATTCACAGGATCGTTGCGAACGCATCATGGAACAAATAAACATTACTACCGAAGAAAAGATCAACGCAATTTTGGAAAAAAAGGAGCAAATCACGAATCAAATTGCAGACTTGCAAAAATCAGGGGACATGTCTGCGCTAGCCTTAAAATCGTCACTGGAAGAAGCCAGACACGTGGCTATAAACAAAATGACTGAGGATTTCTCTGCTGATGATTCTGAGAAGGTTTCGAGTTATTTTCTCTTTTGATTTAGCTAAAATTAAACATCCATCATTTCACATCTGTGTCCTTCTATCATCTGTACATATTAAACAATAAATTTGCCAATATAATAGATAACAATTTACTTGTATGCCATGTATAATTAAAAAATCAAAAGCCTCAATCCCCCAAGGGATCATTTAAATACGATCCATAATTTTGTAGCTTAAATAAAAAAGAAAATATATTATTTCTTGTCAAAAAAGATATTTAAGATCACTATTTTTAAGAAATTCTCTTCAAAATCGATACAAAATCTCCATTTCAGGTGACGACATTCATTAATTTGCATCAAAACGCACTGCATATACTATCAGACGTATCTAAATGGGATATCGAACATTTCGTGTTCGACAAGGAGGGTTTTCGCATAGAAATCGACTCGGCAACTCCGTTGGACGCTGAGTCCGAGGACCCAGTGCCAGAGGGAGCGAAACAAAACAACCCGCTCGAGAGCGAAGAAAGCTTGACCATTTATTACAGGTAATTTTCTTCAAGAAGTTTTTTGTACGAGGCACAACAAATCACCTTACCCCACCTGATGTTAAGTATCGAGTCGCGAAGATAGATGTTGTGGCAGAAAGTTTGCTGCTCCAACCATCCTCACTAGGGACACGATATCGAATAGAAAGTATCGATACTGTACTCATGAGTAGTATCGGTAAAAAAGTATCGTACTCGTAAAAGTATCGAAACAAAAGTATCGATACTTCAAAGTATCGAGTACATTTCATAGGACCTTATCGGAGCCTCTGTGGCCTGATGAGCAACCCCCCCCCCCCCCCCCCTTGAAAGATATACAATCGAATTTTACTATAGTACGTATAATCAAAAACAAAAAAAGGACATTTAAATTCACTTATTGCTATATTATATAATGAAAAGAAAATAGCGGTGATTTCTGACACTAAAAAAGTGTTCATTAATATTTCACTCATAATTAAAATATTAATTAAAAAGATCGAAATCTTAAACAATTTAAAAGTATGAAACTTTTCAGATTTGTTTCAATTTAAACTTACTTTTCTTAAATTTTAATCATTAAAAAACATTATACCCACTTATGTTAACTTGAATCTGATACGTACTTAACGGCTGCCATTGGCATCTTTCACTCAAGATTATAATTATAGAAGAAGTTACTTCCGTCTTTTTTTCAGGTAGTTTCAAATAGGTATACACAGCACAGACAGAATAATAGTGTTACACTTGAAAAAATCAAATACAGTCGAGCGAAAAGCACAATAAACGGCGTATCAATCACAGTTCCTAACAATATGGTCGCTAAATAAATAACTATGAAACAAAACAAAGCGCAAAATAAACACAGTCACAGATTGGAAAGAATTTGAATATGTCTGTGAGTTACTGACTTTATAACAACGCAATAGGGCAATACAAATTTGACAGTATTAAAAATAAAGTGCCAAAATAACGAAAAAGATATTAGTTTTCTTATCTATTGTCACGTAACCTAAAACGCTTTGGATTGGCGGTGCCTAAAATGACGTCACACGCAAGTAAACTTTGCCATTACATTGTATCGTTTGACGTTTTAAAAAAGTCGTGTGACACACTAGTAAGACGCCATATTGTCCAGAGAAACGTTTTCGCGGCAACTTGAAAATGGAGTTTTTGATATGGTTATTTTTACTGAAATAGGGTACGGCCAGAGTGCACTCCTGATTCAGATTCAGATTCAGACTCAGAAAACAAAGCGCGAGAAAAAGCAGGCAACCTGCTTAGACTACACTGTTTATTTCTCGCGCTTGTTTTCAGAATCTGAATCTGAATCTGAATCTGAGTGCACTCTGGCCGCACCCATACGCGACAGAATTATGAATATCCACTTTTTACGGACTCCTTAGTCAATAACGTGAGATCGTTGCCTTAAACTTGTCAAATACCCTATGGAACGTTTTAGAAGGTTTGCTATGATTTAACAAGATGGCGTTGCCATCAATATGAGGCGCTTATCCAAATTTTTAAAGGTATCGATACTTGCCAAAAAGTACTCATTTAGTAAAAGTATCGAATACAAAGTATCGAGTACAAAAGTATCGGTATCGAAAGGAATAGTACTCGATACCACAAAGTATCGATACTTTTTTCGTGTCCCTATCCTCACCATCTCAGCCATCAAAACGGCAATTCTGAACTCAATCGCTTACCCCGCAGAGCCCTGGAACCCTACTCACCAACAGAAACACAACATATCCACTTTATGGTGGGTGAGAAGTTAGCAATACAGGTGAGGCATATCTGATGATGATGATTGCGCTAACTCCACAAGCGCCATTAATTTAATTTAGTAGGAAGATGCTAGATAGGTATGCGTTAAAGATTTTCCATAGATACAAGAAAAAAAGAATCAATAAATGTATGCCCCATTAAATGTAAAATTCTATCGTGTTGATCTAGAAAAAGACATAGGCACTGGGCAATAGATTGACGGATTATCATAGTTCAAGTTTTTTTATCCAAATGGGAAGCATAGTAAATGTTTTTCTCTAATCTACCTGCTTTTCTTATCGATTTTTGTTCAGAAAACTAAACAAGAAAGCGTTATAAAAATCAACAGTGTGAGGACGGAGCGATTTTCCGTACATATCAGATAGAAATATTTATTTAACTCGTAGTTTTTCTCGATTCTCAGATCCCGGAACTTTGTCCCACACCACGTTTGGCGAAAAGCCTCCCGTCCCGGAGGTATAGGGATCAGTCCTTGGACCGGTCATTTGTACGTGTGCGGAATGGATATCCACAGCGTACTAGTAGTTGAACGCTCGCAAGCTAAGATCATTAGCAGGCTTACTCACGAAGACATGCTGTGTCCTGTACAGATTGCCTTCATGAAGAGTCTAGGGGAGATCTATATCACCGGTAAGTTGAGAACTTTGTCCCAATTAAAAATGGGCTAAGGGTCAGTCTTTGGACCGGTCGTATATAAATAAATAAATATTTCCAACACTCACACCAATTAGCCTAGCCCCAAAGTAAGCACTATAGGTTTGTGTTATGGGATATTAGGGTAACGGATACAATACATTTACAGATACATATAAAAAGTATATTTATATAGGAATACATTTTAAACATCCATCACTGGAGTACAAATGTTCGTATTCATCACACAAATATCTGCCCCCACTGGGATTCGATCCCTCGAGTAGGCGACACCTTGAAACCTGGCGTACAAACAACTCCGCCATCGAGGTCGTCAAAATATAAGTCTACAGAATGAATATCCACACCGTACTAGTAGTTAAACGCTCGCAATTCAAGATTATCTATATCAATAGAACCTACGTTGATAACTTCGTCCCAAATCACAGTTGACATAATAATCAGTCCTTGGACTAGTAACTTAATGTACGCACGAAGACATGTTATAAATCATATACTTGTTACTTTATATTTTCATGAAAATCTGTTTACGGACGATAGTTTTACGTAATAACGTTATAAAGAAACATTGATGAACAATTGCATAATTGCTAGCTCTGACGTCATGCGAGAAGAGAGATAAAAGCGTGTAGAAGCCGACGCTCTCGCTTGCACGCTCAGGCGGAACGTGACACTTTTCTTACGAGCAGCCTGTGTTTACCGATTTATAAGACGTTATCACGTCAAAGAAAAAAGCAAAATACATATTCCCACGTTGCAGACAAATGGAAGCACTGCGTCCACGTGTTCTCCATGGAGGGCGAGTATTTGCGGGCGATCGGCCAGAAGGGTAGCCGGTACGGCATGTTCCGCTCGCCTGAGGGCATTGCAACGGATAACGCGCAACACCAAATTTACGTCGTCGACACTGGGAACGATCGGGTGCAGGTGAGTCAATCTGGGTTATTTCATGCGTCCACGTGTTCTCCATAGAGAGCGAATTTTTGGGGGCGTTTGGCCAGAGGGACAGCCGCTACGGTATGTTCCGGTCGCCTGAGGGCATATCCACGGACAACGCGCAGCACCACATCTACGTCGTCGACACTGGGAACGATCGGGTGCAGGTGAGTCGATCTGAGGTGACTTCATGAATCGTTTCATGCGTCCACGTGTTCTCCATGGAGGATGAATAAAGTTCCGGTCGCCTGACGGCATCGCAACGGATGACGCACAGCACCAAATTTACGTCGTCGACACTGGGAACGATCGGGTGCAGGTGAGTCGATCTGAGGTGACTTCATGAATCGTTTCATGCGTCCACGTGTTCTCCATGGAGGATGAATATTTGCGTTGGATCAGCCAGAAAGGCAGCCTCTACAGTAAGTTCCGGTCGCCTGACAGCATCGCAACGGATGACGCACAGCACCAAATTTACGTCGTCGACACTGGGAACGATCGGGTGCAGGTGAGTCGATCTGAGGTGACTTCATGAATCGTTTCATACGTCCACGTGTTCTCCATGGAGGGTGAATATTTGCGTTCGATCAGCTAGAAGGGCAGCCGCTACAGTAAGTTCCGGTCGCCTGAGGGCATCGCAACGGATAACGCACATCACCTAATTTACGTCGTCGACACTGGGAACGATCGGGTAAAGGTGAGTCAATCTGAAGTTATTTCATTAATCGTTTCATGCGTCCACGTGTTTTCCATGGAGGACGAGTTATTGGCGGGCGATCGGCCAGAAGGGCAGCCGGTAGGGCATGTTCCGATCTCCTGAGGGCATCACAACGGATAACGCGCAGCACCACAAATATGTCGTCGTCACTGGGAACGATCAGGTGCGGGTGAGTTGATCTGAGGTGACTTCATGAATCGTTTTTATTAAAGTAATTTTTCTACTTGATGGTACTGTCGAAAAATACAGGGAGAAAAAACAGCCCTGGCTGAGTTTCTTATTAGTAGAGTACATGGTCTCCCATCGTAGATTTGCGAACCGACGGCGTTAATGACTTTCTTGATAATTGCTTGTAACAGCCTAAACCGAATAAATGATATTGAATTTGGAATTACAATTTGCAAGGGCTTGCCCACGACCTTGACTAGTATGATCGACGGCTTAGAGAACAACGCGCCAGGCGATGAGCAGAAATGTACTAAAATGTTAGAACCAGGCCACGAAGTGAAGACCACAACAACGTAGTGACCGACCACTGCGAAAGCCATCGTAGCTTAACGCGCTAACTACTTGCGCCATCGAGATACTCAGCCGACATACAATAGGCTAGTTGACTCATGTCGAATTGTATTAAATAAATGTTTATTTTTTAAAGTATTTGGTCTAATGAACCTAAATATATCGATTTCACTTCATAAAAGCAGAAGATTGCTGTAGAAATTTAATTTAAAAAAATAATTTTTAGTCTATACTTTTTAAACACTAAAAACGCTGATCGCCACATCCGCCATGATTGTGATGTCTCTTTTAGTAAACAACTAAATGTCATTCATACATAACTTTAAAACTTGTATTATTAAACCTGATTATAAATGAAGAGACTTAAAATATTATTCAATGAGTACTTACATCAAAGTGATCTTCGCAAAAATAAATTTTACTATGAGTTCATAAAGTTGCAGGATCACTTTTAGTTTTAGCAACTTCTAACCAGGTATTGCGTAGGTTAATTTCTTTCGGCACTTTAATCCACAACTTTCCAACTGGAATCTTCAAGGATAGGTTTTTACATTCTCGTACAATACAATAATGATAATTACTATATTTTTCGTGGTATTTATTAGAAATCATGTTTCTTTTTGTTATTATAAACTCAGATAGGTTATTTTTTACGAGCTTACGAATTTTTGTTTACTGCCGTCTACGTCATAGCATAGACAATCTATAGACTAAAATGGCCGGCAGCGTTTTTGTATGTCCATGAAAAGTCTATTTTAAAATTAAAGATTAGTAGCTTTCTAGGTCTCAAAAAAATACAATACATTTTTTTCGGTCTAATAGAACATTTATTAACCATTTACAACCTTTTTCCAAAAAGGGTCAACTAGCCTATTACACTTTATATTTTGCATATGGAAATAGAGTAATAGACACAATCGTACAAAAAGAGCATAGTCGGCTGACCATTATTTACAACTTGCGAAGAGTTCTACTCTTTGCAGCCTTGTCCGGAACAGGGGACTTTTTTTTTTATAAATGAATACAATTACTCCATAGGCGTATGCCCATGTCATTATTTAGTTTGACTTTTTTTTTAAGTTTTGTTATACATTTGTTTGTGCACTCAGTGCGGCCTTTTATATTTAATCATGCAAACATGCGGCATACTCACTTATGTCTACTTAACTAATATAAATTTGGACATATTGTCCATCCCCTTTTTAATGAATATTCTATTATATGTATACGCTTTTTTTTCATTTTTTTTTAATTTTTTTTTTCACTTATTATCTATTGTACATGCTTTGTGGAATAAACGGGTTTTCAGTTTATTCTATTTGTGTACCTTGTGTTATGTTTTTGCGGTCTCGGGCTCCTGCGTGAGTTCCCTCTCCTACTCATCGCACGCAAGGGCCCGAGTTTCGCTATCTTTTTGGTAATTATTTAAATTTATTTGTTTATATGGTACAACATTTACTGCTATGTTTTGCTAAATAACATGTAGGTACAGTTTTACTTAAGTCTACTTGTTTCCTTAATCTATGTTAGTACATGTTTGTGTTATTTCCTTATGGTAAAATACGATACATAAACTTCCTCAAAGCTTTTCTTTCTTGCTTACTAAGATTTACTTTACTTATATCTATGCTACTTATATCTAGGGTAATGTTCGTGTGTATTTCTATTTACATTTCCTAATCACTATTTTATATTATGTCATGTCCGGTGTGGGGAGAACAAGGGACGTTCTGCCTGAGTATATTGTTTTTGCTAATGTTCAGCCTTCTTTTATTGAGTAAATATTAAAAAAAAAAACAATAAATGTTATGACGATGGGACCTGAATCTTTGTGTGTGGCGAAAACTGGAACTAGAGCCGCCGTCTTTGTAAACGTTATATTTTGTATGTCATTTGCGTGGACGGTGGCGCCCTCCTTGAACTGTCACTCACATTCGTCCTTGTCGCACGATGTGTGTCTCTAACTCTTATCAGGCCCTGTGAGAACATCAGCGTTGATGCGACCATCGTCGCACCAGCTCATGCTCAGACGGTCTTGGTTAACCTTTATTTTCATTGCTATTTTATGTTTTCTTTTTTACGATTCATTGTGTAATGGGGGTTAATAAAAATCCTTTTCTTCTTTCTTTCGAACATATATATTTTATTCTCAAATATGCTAGGAAATGTGAGCATAATTTTGACAACCTTCTTCGAGATAAATCGAAATTGCTGTACTGCCCACATACATGCTAGCAGCGGCCGGCAAAAGTTATATGCAAAATCCATATTTGCCATGTTTAGCGGCCAAATAAATTACATAGCAAACTCGTATCTGGCGTGCAAATAAAAATGGAACGATATTTTACTCCGGAACTTTGCAACCAAGTGGTAACTTATCAAAGGTTTTGTTTGGCTTCGCCTCGGCCCACATTTACACGTTCGTACATCAATGCCTCTTTCGCCGCTGCAGTAATGTACTATAATATTATTTCCAGATTTTACAACCAGACGGCAAATTCGTGGACCAGTTAGGCGTGATAACAAAACAGCAGCCCACAAACACGCCCACACTTTGGAAGAACACAGAAGTGAGTTGTACCGAACTAAACGCACCGACAGACGTAGCGATCACCGGTGACAAGGTCATTATTCTTGATAGCGGAAATAAGAGGGTGAAAATCTACAACAAACAGAACAAGGGCAAAATATTAGAGTTCGGCGCCATGGGCCAGGTGAAAGGTCAGTTCAGACAGCCCGAAGTCTTAACAGTGGATCCTTTAGGTTTCATATTAGTCGGCGATTCTGGCAACTGCAGGGTGCAAGTTTTCAAACAGAACGGCCAATTAGTGCGAGTGTTCGGTGGTCTGGGCACGGATCCAGGGAAATTTGGATGGATATCTGGCATCCACGTGACGAAACAATTAGACATCATCATAAGCGATACGAAAAATCATTGCGTGAGTTTCTTTTGATTGTGAATTTGAGGACTTTTAGATTTTATTCGCATTGATAAAGCAAGAATTGTTGAGTGTGATGCAGCGAGAATTTCGAATTGAAAGCAATGAGGGTGTTTAGGAAAATTTACGTCACTAAATAAAACGGTTTTAACGGGGTTATATGCACTGAATTTATTTATTAATTGACGTTTCGCATCCTTTGCAGAAATGCGTTGTCAGAATAATGTTTTTTTTATTTAGGTACTTTGTGGAACTACCTTCGAAAGACTTTTATTGAGCGTTCGGATATTTCATTGTAAGATTCGAACGAAGGTTCCTGGAAAAGATGCGAAACATCAATAAATAAATAAATTCAGTGCATATAACCCGATAAAAACTGTTTTATTTAATGAGTGATGTGCGTGAAAACCTAAGAAACAAATATTTACGTCACTGGTCGGCGCCATTGTAACATGAGGTCTTTTGTGTCGGATTTTACGGATGAGACCTTTCGTATCAGTGCTGCTATCTGGCGCCTGTCATACCAGAAAACTCTCATTAAAACGTTAATAATGGTAAGTCATCGCACACTATAGCAAGTATAGTGTATGAATGACCTTGATGGAACAATAGAAATGAGACCATAAACTATATAACAACCTAATATCATTAAATACATTTCTTAATAAAATGATCTTTTGTTTAGGTGGACCCAGTTATTTCTTTCATACGTTTATTTTTAAAGCATACTCATTCACCTATCTCTAATTAATAGACCTTCATGTGATTTAATAAGTTCCATTGCATTTATTGGCAAAACTTTTTCAAATACAATTTTATAAGTAATTCATTCTATATAGTACTTGTTCTTACAATTAATTTGTTAAATACCTATGTGTTTTTTTTAATTTTATGTTGCAATGTGAACAGTTGATTAAATGAATACAAGAAATTGTATAACAATACTTTATTATGGAAATAAAATTTTAAAAATAATAATTATTATTACTGTCATAGCACAATGTGAATTATAAATAAATTTTACATTAAAACAATGCCTGAGTTTCATTTTTACAAAAAATATATCACAATAATGATAAAATAAAAATATATGTAAAACTTACAATTCTAAAATAATTGAGTAGTTAAAATGAAAATGAGATTTAAGTATTCATATAATTCCTACTAACAGAACAAATTTTACCATTATGTTTATTTTAATATATAAATATTGGTATTACATATTATATGAAATCTATGGACGCCACGGCTACAATTCCGAATTTTATGATACTAATCCATTGATATACAAGGTGTATTAATTATTTTAATAAAAGGCAGACGGACCGCACGGAACACGCAAATGCAGCCACCAAAGCAAATACAAAGTCAAAATTAAAGGCCTTCTTTCTTTTCTTCTTTCACAAAGGTGAACAGTTTTTACAACCTTTGAACAAGCTGGCACAGTATTTATCAAAAACTTAATTTAAATTCAAAAACTTACGCATTGCAGCGTACTGAAGCGAGTTTGTATTCGCTTTTGACTTAGTGTTTGCTTTGGTGGCCGCACATGCGCGTTCCGTACGTTCCAGCTGTCCTTTGTTCTGTAATCAGAGCTTTTATGGATCTTTACGACATTTCCAAAATACTATTATTATCAAATTCAATTTAAGTAAGTATAGAGAGGTAGGCCCATTGTTAACGTAAAAGTACTGAATCATATTACGGTGTTTAATTCTTTTTACACCCTGTATATCCCACAAAATTAACATCTAGTATAGAATATTCATAGATAAAAATCTCGGTTCAAAACACTAAATACATGGCTTATATCAGTCTCGATTTGGTGGTTTGATATACTTATAATTACATAATGATCAATATTTACAACATCGAAACTGATATACTGTTAAACTTAAAGTCAAATGAGATTTTCTTAAGAGATAATCAAATACACTTAATTAAATTAAAGCCATAGTTGTAAGGCCAATATAAACAAGCCATTAGTTGTGACTTGAAGGGTGGGTAAAATGACAAGTTATTTCATTAAATAAATTCAGATTATTACATTGTTAGGATTTGTGACTGATTGTGACAAAATTGGTGTTAAAACATACACACACCATTGATAAATTCGCACCTTTTTAAATAAGTAATAAACATAACTACTAGTACTATAGCATGTTTCGAAATATCTGAAATACCTATAATTAGGTAAATAGCAATTCTATAGTTTATCAAAAATGATAAAGTGCGATTTCATTTTGATGCGTCATTGTATTAATATTTATTACTGTAGTAAGAAAAGGTTTAACAATTTAAAATTTTCATATAATTTAACAAGTTTTTTTTTATTACAAATTACATAATTTGCATATGATGTTACCTTAATTTCTGTATGAGTATGTAAAAGCGCTCTCTCTCAATTTGGATTCAACCATTACATCTCATCGATGTAATGCTTGAATAAAGAAAGCGAGCTTTACTTGCTACTATGATTCCCGATTGTATCATTTACAGCTGTCAGCTGGGGTTGACAATTGGGAATTTTCTGACCAGTTGTATCTAAGATGACAAATTTTCCCTACTGTTCATTTCCGATTCATGCTAACTAGAGAGTATAGCAGATACCTTCTTTCCTAACGACTGACGGGATTGTGGGCCAATTGCTATGATTGCTTCCCAGTTGTCCACTCTGTCTGATGATCAGTGACGGGCATGTCTTATGTCCCTATTTCGATAAAATATTATTTATAAAGAACAAAAAATATAAACTGAAAAATATGAACAAAAAATAGACACATTAGGAACTTAGGTACGAATCGGAACTGAACAGTTTAAAATTTTGACATTCAGGTGACAACTGAAAAGAAAATTCCCAGTTGTCAAACCGTTGAGAATAATGCCTCCATATAGGCACAATATTATCGGTCGATAATATCGGATGCGTTATTGCAATATTTGTTTTTAGTACATTATGTGTGAGAACGGTTACGAAGTTACACACAGCTGCGATACTAACGACGTAATAGAGGAATGACGAAATATATAGGTAGATAATCATATTATAGATCGATATTACCGTGCCTATGGGGGGAGGCTTAATAGTATAGCAGATAGCTCAACCTGTGGTAACAGTTGACATTGTAAAAACAAAAACAACTGATTTGACACTGCAGTAATGCTCAAAATCGAAGGAAGCTTACAATAAAAGCGGATGTTTCTGGAGAGGCTTCCTTCCATATTAAATTTTATGTTTTAGTACTAAAATAGACAACAATATAATGGATCTTAGACTACAATATTTTTTTATAAAGTACACATTTGGCATAATAATCAATTAAAGGAACAAAATCAACAATGCCATAATGAAAACTATTGTGAATGTTGCATTTTACAGTAAAAGATAGTTTAATGAAAATCTAAAGTATGAGTAGGTACTTGAGTTTATTATAATGTGGCAATTTGATAACATTTAGAATGTTTCTTGTTTCATGCTCTATCGAAGATATCGTATCATTTCATGGACGAATTAGCAAAAGATAATGCAGATACAGTTGCAAAATTTCTGAAGCTCTGACTTGCATAGTGTGATATTAACTGCTTTTGAAAGGCATCAAACAATTTTTTGAGTTAGGCTAAAGATATTTAAGATAGATATAAGAAAAACTTGGAAAAGTTGGTGAAAATTTTACACTTGTAAAACACATGGTCATTTAAAATTAACAAACATTTACAGCAAAACTATACCAATAAGAACGCATACAAAAAATGTAAAAAGAATTGTTCATCCAGTTCGCTTTCCGCATGTTTGAATTATTATGCAGCTAACTTACGCGATATTTGCTGCAGAGTATTACAAAGAACATACATAAAATACCATGAACAATAAACTTTTGTTGATTAACAATATTAAGTGACTGAGATAACTTAAATTAATGTTAAATTATTTTTTAATTAACATAGTAATTGTTGACTGTACAAAATTTCTAAAAATAATTAACTAAAATTACTTGAGATTTGATTAAAATCTGCAGTCATGTTTTTCACATAATTAGGAATGCACAAAAAGTACACAAAAGTCAGAAAGATTAAAAGTAAAGCTAGCAGTTTGGCAATACTATGGTGCACATATTTTTTTAACTTAATATGGATATTATTACCTTTTTCACTGTCAATGTTTCGTTATTAGACATTTTAAACAAAATTACATTCAACCGATGAGTGAAGTTCCCAAGAGTGAAATAGGTATGTGATGTAGCAAAATTAGCACCATAAATTGAAAATTAAAATAAGAGCAAATATGCAAAATATCTAATTCAATGCAAATAGTGTTATACAGTAAAAAAAATATTTATTTTCACACTGATTTTTACCATGCCTAAGTAAGGTAATATTTTTATCCAAAATCACATTTTCGATTAACAATATTAAGTTAAAAATATTGATAAAATCGTCTTATATGTGTAAATGGCTGTAGAAGAGCAAACCAACTGTTATCTTAATATTTTACTAACAAATGTATATTCAAGTGTGCTATGTATGAAATGGCCTAAGACGAGTGACATGGCTGGCATCTACTTACAGAATGACTTTCCCCGAGTACAACAGAATCAGATTCAGCCGGAGGACCTTCACTGTTGTCATGCTGCCTCTGAAATAAATATAAATATATATTTATTTTGTTATTAAATTTATCACATCACATAATAATGGGAACATTAAGATTTCTTTTGACTATGCATAAATGAAAATTCTAAAATAAATTATATCTCTGATGATTATATATTTGCATTCAAGAAACTTGTTACATCAATTTCTTTACACAAAAAGAAAACAATGGTACAATAGTAATAGTTGTTGGTAACATTATTATTGTCAAATATACAACTGAAAAACCTTCCAACTGTATTTTGAAGTGAACAAAAAACCACAGACAAGCTTACATTACTGTGTCTCAACATCAATCTGTCTATTGTTGTTTCAAATGAATTTTCAGGTCAAGCTAAATAGAGTTCTTTTGTTATGAGACTACTATTGTATTGTTAGAAAGTTTACATTTTAACTTATTACTTGATATAGCTTTTATACAGATATTTTTTTTATATTAATATGTAATTATACAATTTGCACAAATTATAAAAAGCATTATTTTTCGATTAAACAAAAGAAAATTAAAGTAAAAATAAAAGTTAAACATGAGGCATAAACAACAGGCATTGCTTCACAACTAAAAACTTCAATATTCACCTTCAGTTCAGTGGCAAGGCTACGGAAAGTGTCCTCCACATTAGTGTTGTCTTTAGCAGAAGTCTCCATTACAAACATGATTTCAGGAACATATCGACAGAAAGACTTCGGTTCATCTGGCTCCACTTCACGTTGTTCTACCAAGTCACACTTGTTTCCTATTAGGGAAACAATAACATTTGATGATGTATACCTTCGGACTTCTTCAATCCATTTTTGAAGAGATAAGAATGTTGATCTCTTTGTTATATCGTAAACTGTAAATGTTGAAAAAAAAGGAGTTATAATATATCGAGAAGTACCAATTGCTTTATTATTTTGTGAAAACATATAGTGATAGCATCCAGACTAGATTCCTTTTGGTAAAAATATTTGTCTTACCTATAATAACTCCATTTGCAGAACGATAGTAACTCTGTGTGATGGTTCTGAATCTTTCCTGACCAGCGGTATCCCATATTTGAAGCTAGAATTGAGATAATAAAATAAAACCAGTGAAAACGCCCCCTTGTGTGTACCAAACTCAATTTAGTGTTTATTCACAAGAAAATCTCATTGTTTAAAAAAATAAGTCTGATAATGCAGAGCAATATTAAATAAAGGAGAAATTAGTGTTAATTCTGGCATGAATGATTCACTAAACCTAAACTTAAATTTCACAACAGTGTATCTTTGTCATTCTCTATAAAGAAAAAAAAGAAGAGACTGATGTTAAATTCAGTTTTAAGTTTAAGGAATCATGTCTGAATCGACACTATTATATGTCAAGATGTTTTATTGAATTGAGCAAACCTTAACTTTCTTCCCATCCACTACGAGCGTTTTCATTGAAAAATCTACGCCTATCGTATTCCCGTGCCTTTCTATGAAGTTTCCTGATTTCAAACGTTGCACAATGCATGTTTTCCCAGTTCCACAATCACCAATTAACACAATCTTAAATAGATAATCAAATTGCTCGTCTGGAATACTCATCAGAGTATTAGGATTCCGGTTAGACATATTTAAAATGAAATAAAAAATTAATATCCAATATTAAAATCTGCTGTTTACAAAAACCAATCCGTTTGACAATTTTGACAGCTTTATTGACATAAAGCCTTTTTTTTTTAATTTTCCTGTGGTATGAAGGCAAAGAAAGTTAAGTTCATACAAACCTATCTTTTTAAGAAATATGCCAGTAAAATAAATAATGGTATCGATTCTGGCATGATTCTCTAAATCTAAACTTAAATTTGACAACAGTGGTGCCAATTCTGGCGTGATTCTCTAAACTTAAAACTAAATTTAACATCAGTCTCTCCTTTTCATTCTGTATAGAGAATGACAAGGATATACTGGTATCGATTCTGGCACGATTCTCTAAAGCTAAACTTAAATTTGACAACAATTTGTCCTTTTCATTCTGTATAAAGAATGACAGGGATACACTGTTGTCAAATTTAAGTTAAGCTTTAGAGAATCACGCCAGAATCGATACCACTGCTGTCAAATTTAAGTTTAGGTTTAGAGAATCATGCTAGAATCGACACCAGTGTATCCTTGTCATTCTCTATACAGAATGAAAAGGAGAGACTGATGTTAAATTTAGTTTTAAGTTTAGAGAATCACGCCAGAATTTACGACGACACCTTTATTGGTGTAAATTCCGGCAGGCTTCTCTAAACTTAAAACTAACTTTAACATCAGACTCTCCTTCTCATTATGTACAGAGAATGATAGGGATACACGGTTGTCAAAAAGTTTAGCTTTATAGAATCATACCAGGATCGATACCATTATTTTCTAATCATTAATCTTCATCTTTCAAATTTTTTTACAGTTGAAAATTCATAAATGTAAATCCAGACCTGCTTAGGTATTCACTTCTGTAATTGTAGAAACAAATGTGTTCATAATGTATTTAAAAGATGAAAATTACACAGGCACGGCTCTAACTACCTATCTCCTCTGTTCCTTTACCCTCGAAGGAGCGAACCTAAAAAATCATCCAGTGTTACCAATTTTAGAGATTTTTCCTGAATATAGGGTAGTTTAGTGTTTTATTTTTTATGCATGTGAATCTCATATAAATCCTTTGAAAAACCATTTTTATTTGTACTAGGTTTCCAATGAAATTACACTATAATTTCATTCCACGAGTTCGCAACTGCCATATCCATGATTTCGCATATGCGAGTACCATACAAGCTGGGATTAGTGAAGATACTAGTTCAAATTGATTGGCTCAATTTCCAAAAGAGACAATGGTGTCGATTCTAGCATGATTCTCTAAACCTAAACTTAAATTTGACAGCAGTATATCCTTGTCATTCTCTATACAGAATGAAAAGGAGAGACTGATGTTAAATTTAGTTTTAAGTTTAGAGAATCACGCCAGAATTGGCACCAATGGCACAAACGAATATCCTACATGGCATAATCGTTAATGATCGCGATGGATTGAAAAATACAGTCACCTATATTTTACTAATAGTGCATGTAATAGGATGTCATTGAATTATAAGTTAAGTTAACGTAGGTTACGGGTATTAAAATGGCTGCCGTAAAGTAGTTGTGTGTCAAAAGAAAACAACAAATTGCTACATTGTGTCTTAGCGGTTGTATGTAAAAAGACTCGTATATACATGAACCCTGAAAACATTACACTTTTCTTTGACAGTCGGGTAAAAATAGTATACAATTTATACGTCATTGATTTAAATTAAGGTAAATATTTCAGGGAGTTTGTAGCACTGCCTGTCTGCCAAGTGTCAGCCAACGTCAACTTGACAGTTTCAACTTTCAACAATTGGACGTAGTTACGCGAAAACGTTCCAACCCACAAGTCACTCGAAAATGAGTTACCATAACCAGGGTACTATTTTTTACATATTACATCATGTGCACACAAAGATAGTAGTATTTTTAGGTTAGTTTCATCAATAAAGTTTCACCCAAATGTTCCATCCCACCATTATGCCAAGGACGTGTACTCAAAATAAAGTAAAAACATTACATGCATACTGAAACATATTGTTAAAAACTCTTAATAGAATAACATATCGTTATAATGTTCCACTTGTCTTGGAACATTATACTAAATTCATAAAACGCACATTTAATTGTTACTTAAATGATCCATGTGGGTTGGAACGTTTTTGCAAAATCTTTATACATTTTGAAGTTATACTTCTTTAGGCGCGTTCTGAAAAATTGTTGAGAGTGAAATTTTAAGATGCGCGCGCATCTGTAACACAAAAAATTAACACCATGAAGTTGGTCGCTTTAGCGACATGTGCCGCGCTGCCATTACCGCGTCGCCCGCCGCACCGTACGCATGCGCGGCCACCCGCGGTCCTAGCGCGGGAAACACGTACAACAAACATCGGGAAAAGTTACGAGTTTTGAATTTAGAACAGAGACTGTTTTCATATCTATATATATAAAAATGAAACCCGTTTTCCGTTGTCACGACATAACATGAAAACGGCTTGACCGATTTGGCTGTTTTTTTTTTGTAGTTTTCTAATACTCTGTACAAGGCTTTTACGGAAAAAAATATAAAGAAAATCCCAAGGGGATAAAATAAGGAATGAAAGTTTGTATGAAACTTTATCAATTTTAAACCGATCGGGCTGAGACTTTGCATGCAGGTATAAGAAGAATCATAGATGAATGTCATTGTGTATAATACAAGCCTGAGAACAAAAACTGTAGTCTACACTTCAGCTCTACACCGAAGCGAAGCGAGGGCGGGCCGCTAGTTTATAATATTTATCCACATGTTTCTAGTTTGTATATTCGGAATACGTGTTTGAGTTTCATACAAGTGCAAATCACATATGTTCTAATAAATTATATTCAGTAGCGATTTTAATTGAATATTTTGCTTATTTATTTATTTTTTCAAATTAAAACTGAACTTTATTGACTGTGTCCTTTTCCAGACTTTTTATTAATTTATTGTAATTAATTATTTGCATGCAATTAAAAACTAATTTTAAACGATGCCAAAGAAGGATAACTTCTCACGCGCCTACATAAGTACACGCACCCATTTTTTTTTTATTTCTGCAAAAATGTTCCATATAATTTAAAATCTTTTAGATTAATCCATACTGTTTTTTTTAAGTTGCGAACCCTGCTCTAAATAAATTGGAACGTTTTACTATAATATATTATTTTCTAATATTTTGCTATAAACGATCCACAATTACTTGATCTATTTTTGCTATTAAATATGTTCTAGAGAAAAAAATATTTTAACCAAAATAAATAACTATGGTATATTTGGACGTAGTAACGCGAAAACGTTCCAACCCACAGCGACAACATTTTGAGATAAACGCAATTTTGTGTTTTAGCGGTACACTTTTACCCTGTAATTATTTCAGGAAAATACTATTGGTTTTACTGTGGAATGCCAAGCTGGTTATTGAATAATATGCATATTTTTTGTAAATACATAATACAAGGGACATATAAATAGGTAAAACGAGTTTGAAACGTTTTTGCTAAATTTAATTTTGTATGAACCTTGTTAAATAGCAATTATGCATAAACGTTCCTAAACGAATTTAAGTGTATTATTTTTATAAATATATCTAAAAGAAATATGTAAAATAATAAATAACAATGAGGAACATACAAAAACAACAAAAAGAAATTTAAAATGTATTACAAAAAAAATTGAACGTGATCTTTTGAGCTTAGAACCTATGCCAAAAATTAGCTGATATGGTTCCAAAAGTTATCAAAAACTTACATTATAAACATTCAATTTTCATCATCGTATTCTATGATCTCAAAGCCCGGAACTCCACCAAACCCATCATCATCATCATCAGTAGCTTCTTCAGAACTTTGAAGCGTTCTATAAAATTGAAGACAATCCTCAGGTATGTAGTGGTACATGGATTGTAAGTCCACTAATTTCGCTGGAGCAATCGGTTTGCCATTAGGCCACAATAAACAAAAATCAGGTTCTTTTATGTATTGCAGTTCTAGCTTTATTCTTTTATCAATTTTCAACTCATTGAAATTGTCTTCAATGAGTTGAAAATTGATATTCGTTTGCATAAAAATAGAAAACATTTTATCTTTATCCAACTTAATTTCTTTTGTATGTAGCCAACTAAGATTAGTTGTACTAAAAAAATCAGTTTTTGTCATTTTGTAAACATAAAGAGGTTTAACTTTTTTACAGGTTTTAATAATATTGATGTATTCTTCAGGTGTATATACGCGTTAATGGTGCTTGAGTGCGGTTTCAATTTTTGTGAAATCTTTGTCAGTTGGTAAGAAAGTATGGCCAGACTCAAGGAATCGGCATGATGTAGTTTTCAGGGTTGGATGAGAGCTTAAAGCAAATGAAGAGAGATTTTGAGCAAGCACAAAATTCACCCTCAGTGGAATGCTTAACCTTTGATTTGAAGAAAACATTGCCTTTACCCCGCATTCACGAATATTGCATTGCACAAAAAGCAGTTGTGGTTCTACAATAGTGGTATCCATAGTGCATCTCATGATACTGGGCATTGTTATGTATGGGTAGAAGGAGAGGCAAGAAGAGGTGCACAGGAAGTAGGTTCGTGCCTAATAAAATATATAAATCAATAACTAAAACCCACGGCTGAACATTTAATCCTATGGAGTGATTGCTGTGCTGGTCAGAACAGAAACATCAAAATCGTCCTAATGATGAAACCCATCTTACATACACAATCAATACATTTTCATTTTTTTTTATTGTTTTTGTATGTTCCTCATTGTTATTTATTATTTTACATATTTATTTTAGATATATTTATTAAATAATACACTTAAATTCGTTTTGGAACGTTTATGCATAATTGCTATTTAACAAGGTTCATACAAAATTAAATTTAGCAAAAACGTTTCAAACTCGTTTTACCTATTTATATGTGCCTTGTATTATGTATTTAGAAAAAATATGCATTTCATTCAATAACCAGTTTGGCATTCCACAGTAAAACCAATAGTATTTGCCTGATATAATTACAGGGAAAAAGTGTACCGCTAAAACACAAAATTGCGTTTATCTCAAAATGTGGTCGCTGTGGGTTGGAACGTTTTCGCGTAACTACGTCCAATTGGTTAGTTAAATATTCCCACAACGGGAAGGAAAAAGAAAATTATATCTCCAAACAAGTTATTTGTTAAACTTAACCCTTCCTTCAAGTCTTTTTATACAAATGTGGTGGTTACATATTGGATGTATTTTTATTTCTCTTTCAACTTTTACACCCTACAGTTTGGGAGTAGAGGTTGGTTTTTCGCTGATAATAATCACAAAAGACGATAAGTGCCAATAAAATATTGCAAATTTCTTAACATACTCACTTGTTTCTACTTTAGATACCTGAAAAGTTTCAAAAGTCAAATCACACTAACAACTGGGCAGTCTTGGTTGATACTTCTAGATTTTGGTTTAACTATCGTCATGTAGCCAACGTCTTATCAATCTACCGGAGTGTGAAGCGGCTGGGTATACCTGACAGCCAGATTATATTAATGATATCGGACGATATGGCTTGCAATCCAAGAAACCCCAGACCAGCCACAATATTTAACAATGCACATGAACAGATCAATGTTTATGGAGATGATGTTGAAGTGGACTATAGAGGTTATGAAGTAAGTCCCATTGTTATGATTTAAATATCCCAGTATAATTATTTTATATGAATTTCTAAGTATGCCAGTTATTTCTCTATCTCACTTAAGGAACTTTTGTTGACATACATTTGGTGTGTTCAATAGTGGCTATTCCAACTATTGTCAGATATTCAGCTGTATCTATGTCATCTGTGTGAATATGCCTTGCATAATCTTGCTGTAAAATTCCAACAAGGTCTTATTTAGTTGTTTTATAAAATTGTAAGTTGTCTGATATCATGCCAAAAATTTGTCTTAATTGCTACACACCTACACCTCATTGCTACTTTTTGTTATAACTTACAACTAAGCTGCTTAATAAAAGAAATATTTAATACTAGTGAGTGTATGTGATTTCATCTGCATGGAAAAAATATTTTCCATTTAACTTTCTTTCCCCCTTCTGAAGAGCTGAATTCTGAAAAACTATCCATTGCCCTTTCCCAGAACTCTAACAATCTCAATACCAAATTTAGTTCAAATTGGTTCAGTGGTTTAAGTGTGAAGTGGTAACGGACAGACACACTTTCGCATTCATAATATTAATATGTATTTTAATTTTTCAGGTATCTGTAGAGAACTTCATTCGTTTGCTCACTGGACGAGTTCCCCCTGATACTCCTCGGTCAAAGCAGTTGCTTACAGATGAAGGTAGCAATATATTGATCTATCTCACCGGACATGGAGGAGACGGGTTCCTCAAGTTTCAAGACTCGGAGGAGGTAACCAGCCAGGAGCTGGCAGATGCTTTAGAGCAAATGTGGCAAAAAAGAAGGTGCATATTTAATTTAAGTTTCTATATTATATTGGTATGATAAGACATCAATATCAATAATAGCACATTATTATTTTAATTATTTCTATAGTTAATCTTATTTATCAACCCTGGCTTTTTACTAATATACACAACGGTCCAATAATTAGGACTGAGTGCGGAAACTGCCCTGAAAAACTAAACTAACCCTGACTTACATAATAACAAAATAAAGTTACTGTTAATAGGTAACAACATCAACTTATCTTCATTAAATTGAAAGATGAGATTGGGAATAAAATTCAAAAAAAAAAATTCAAAATTCAATATTGTTTATTCAGTCTAGGCTGTTACAAGCACTTGTGAATGTCGAAAAGCTACGCCATCGGTTCGCAAATCTACGGCGGAAGACCTTGTACTGAGAAGAACCGGCAAGAAACTCAGCAAGGGCTGATTTTTTCTCCCTGTTTTATTTCATACAGTGTCATACAATTAAAAGTTGACATCAAACTTGCAAACATGTGTTGAAGTCAACTTCCATCACAATGTCAAATATGTAACAATAGACAATCAATTTTACTTTTATACTTTAAAAATGATTAATGTATGATCAACTCAATATCATATAATATTTTTAAGACCAATATCAAGTTTTAATACTTTTACATGTAATAACTACGTAGGATTTAATTTCCCAAATCTTAAATAGTAACTTAGCAGCAAAGTATAATAAAAAGTAAGTATGGTTTGTTCAAACTTTGCTGTTGTAATAAGTTGTCATAATAAATATTGAGAACAATACTGTATCAGAAGTGTCAAAATATATTAATAACAGCAAGTACTATGATATAAGAACAAATTACACAGCAATAGGGTTCAGACAATTCGAATCCAATAATCATATTTTATTGTAACAATAGTCTAGATTCTGGCAAGATTCATTAAACTTAAAACTAAATTTAATATCAGTCTCTCCTTACCGTTCTTTATAGAAAATGGCAAGGTTACACTGTTATCAAATTTTATTTTTTATATTTAGACAATCATACCAAAATCTGCACCACTTTATACATAACCTCATAGATTTATTTAATTTGTAATTATTCTTCTCTTTTCCAGGTACAATGAAATATTTTTCATTATTGATACCTGTCAAGCATCCTCCATGTATGAAAAATTCTATTCTCCCAACATTTTAGCTACTGCCAGCAGTTTAGTTGGGGAGGATTCTCTTTCAGTAAGTTTTTGGCTGTATAGTTCCTTTCTTTGAAAATTACATTTGTTTGACTGCAAAGCTTCTTTTGATGTATTGGTGGTTTCAACAAATAATGTAACACGTTTTGTACCACTTTTCTTGAAAATAAATAAATAGATGAACATTTATTATTTTATGGTTCATTAGCTATGCAAATGAATGTTATCACTACAGCTTTTTACATATATGATTGTATTGATCTTTTTTTCTTATTCCAGCACCATGTGGATTCAGCTATCGGTGTCTATATCATTGACCGATACACTTACTACGTTTTAGAGTTTTTGGAAAATGTTCACACTAATAGTCAGAAGACTATGACTGAATTTGTAAGTATTATCTTTTTAAAATCCTCATTTTATAGGGTTAATATCTATATCTTATCTAATATTAGTAAAAACTACATTTATCCTGCAAAATAACACAGACAATGGTCTGTAAAGCTGCCATAATTAGATAAAGGTGTATTCGATAGAACGACATATACCTATATTTTGAATATGAGCACTAGTAATATTTAAGCTTTCACATTCTCACAATGACAAGTGACCTATATATTTTTTTTAACTAATTCAATTCAATGTAATTTTTTTATTCATATGTAATGTGCAAGATATAATTTAACATATGAGAAAATAATTATATTCTACATCTATTAGGCCTATGTTCCTATTGCCTGATTCCTCTGGACAAGAACTAAAGTATAGAAATAGTTTAAATTCAACTCATAAAGTCGACTCATAAATTTATTTTATTTTCACATACAGATCACAAAAGAGATATATATATATGTGTCTATGAACAGTGTGTGTATAGCAGTAATACAAATGTCTAATTGTATATCTTTGGCCTTTGTATGCCTTGTGGATACCTTCGTAACCTTTAAGATACTGAATGAAAAAGCAATCTACTGACGAATGCAACATGCCAACACACCACTAATACTTTTCGGTTGGGTAATATGTGCAGAATGCAGAAGTGTACGCAACAACATCATTGCATTACTATAATAATATTCTATGCTTTATTTCTTGTTCTGAACTTGAATACAAACTAAGTGAACATATTATTACATTTGTTTCTTAGGTTTTCACGCACATCACTCATTAAATAAAACGATTTTTTTGAGACCAATAGATACTAAAGAAAATATAACTAGAAAAAAATCCATGCGGACCAGGCAGCAGACGGGACTCGAACCCGCACCCTTCGCAATCCGGGCGAATGCACTGACCAATTATGCTACCGCGGCCCTCACGGACCGCGTCGAAATTCTTCTAGCCATTCTTAAGCTGCAAGGTAGCGCCATCTGTTCGCATTATAGGTAACCCACAATGTCAATCAATCGCTCAATTTTCAATTTTTTCTAGTTATATTTTCTTTAGATTTAAACATCAAGCAGTTACATGCTTTAAAAAATAATAAAAATTATAACCAATAGATACTGTTAGTTTTTTTTTGTTTATACTTAACATAAGAGGGAGATAGAAAGCCTCTCAGATTTTGTTTCGCCGGTTCTTCTTAGAAAGGTCTCCCAAATAAATAAACTCCAAATTATAAAAAAAGAATTAAATAAATTTCTTTATTAATTAAATTAGCTAATAAATTCAAGCATAGACAATAAAGTTTTAAAAATCTTCCAATGAAATATCCAACGCTCAGTAAAAGTCTTTGGAAGGTAGCTCGACAAATTTAATAAAAATTCATTATTTCTGAAGACGCAGTCCTGCAAAGGCTGCATAACGTCAGATAAATAAATTCAGTGAACATATTATTGTCGATTCTCGTACGATTCTCTAAACTTAAAACTAAATTTAACATCGGTATATCCTTTTCAGTCACTATAGAGCATGACAGTGATACACTGTTGTCAAATTTAAGTTTAGATTTAGAGGATCATGCCAGAATCGACACCATTGTGTCACTATTTTGAAGGAAGTTTTTTATTTATTTATTTAGTTGGCAGTGTGCCCGAAAAGCGCTTGCCTATCGACTGTTGGAGTTCGTCGAGATCTCTTCAAGAGGGATCCTAGCAAAGTGCCCATCACCGATTTCTTTGGCTCAGTGCGCCCTGTTGTCATAACAACTAATACCATTGACATAATGGATATTCCCAAGAGGAAGAAGACTGAAATTGAGTGAGTTCAATTTAAAGAAAATGTAGTTTTTTTTTCAGGATATATGCTTTGTTTACTGTAAATATGTCAGCCCATATCCTGCCCTGTGGCGTCCTAATATTAACCTTTGATATGACAACTGGTAATGAGGGATTTGATGACTCATCCGTCAAATCACATAATTCATTCATTCATTCGCGCCAAATATCTTTCAAAAGACCTCATGTCACAGTGGCGCCAACTGGTGACGTAAATGTTCCTAAACACCCTCATTGGAAGTGTCACTTTGCTGCAATCTTCTGTAAAGTGGTAGATACTACTCCAGGAGGATGTTCTAATTCGCACCAAGCATAAATATGATTATATTATGAACGATTGGGAAAGGGATGACGCAGGCATAAAATGGATTCTCATAGTTTGCTTAAAGCGTCATATTATGTAGTTCTGGATCGCGGTAAAATGATGTCGTTTTTTGCCTGATTTCTTTTGATTTAGATGAATTAAAACTGCAGAAATGAATATATTCATTTGTTAGACGGTTTCCGTTTCTGTTTTCATAAAAAGTAAAATTTTACCTAATAAACGGAATTACTCGAAATACCGGCTCACAGAGGGGTATTAGAAAATTAATATTGGAAACAGGTATACTAAAAGAGAAGAGAATATTGTCTTACTTAACGTGATGCTGATCTCATAAATATCCTCTACTCTAATGCTTAACAAATATTTCTTGAGTTTAGAACAATTTAAATACCGCTTAAAAACTTTATCTGTATTTTGTGATTAGGTATTACTTCCTGAATTAGTCATGTCATTTACAAATCACTTATTTATTTTATTTTTTCAGAAACCGAACAAAAGTATTAGAGAAAAGGAAGTACCTGCCACAGTTCCCAATGCATCTAGTACAAGGCAGTACACAGTAGTATCAGTCGTATAAAATTAGCTAGGGAACTAACAAATAATAATTTATAATTACCAATAATAGTGTCAGTCTTGATGAAAAAGCTTTAATTATTTACATTGAACAATGATTTCATCTGTATGTAGAATTAGTAAATTTTTTTCACCAGCATATTAGTCAGCTACCGAACAAAGTGTGAAATAAAACAGTTCAAAATATTAAATATGTATTTTATTTTTGTCTATAAGTACTAATTATAATCTTGTTAACATCATTAAACACAACCAATTCAGTTACCGTTGGAATCTAAAAGAATATATAATTAGCAACAAGTCACCGCTTCCACATCTCACATGTGATATGAGATCAAAATCTAATGTTAGCACCAATTCAGTTACATTCATAGGCCATATCTTTTTTGGTCTAGTCATTCCGTACTAACTATATATTCATACAATTTTCAATTGTCCTAAATGCAACTTATGTACTCGCTAAAATTTAATTTGTCATCTAATTCTAAAGAACGATTAGAATTAGAAAAATGTACATAGGCATCTTATCCAGTAAGATTTTAAAGAGAATGGGAGTTAAAATTTTATTTAGCCCATGAAGTAGTAGGAATGATGTTACAAAATGCTATTTCTTATCCTGAATTGCACTAAAATGAAAATCTCATTGAGAGGAAAATTTGTTCTACCAACTACAAAAAAATATATATCTATAATGGCCCGTTTTGATTTTTCCACTAAGCATTCGAGTCCAGTAATCCAGTGGGTCAAATTGGCATTCTTTCGTTCACTCATTCCAGTATTCTTACAAAAAAGATATTATGGTCGACTAGAATGGTCATCTATATTTTAATCCAATAGCAACCGCCGCTATTATTTCTCTACTGAACTTGTCTACTGAAATACTACTGGAATGATGTGAACGACCATTCTAGTATCCAGACATAACATTCGATTTTTTATTTCTAGTAAAACTAATTTATCCTTCAGGCTACAAAGAGTTACACTACAAAGAGTTTCGTTTAGGGACTTAAAATACTTAATACAATGCAAAATTCATTGTAGGTATATGATTGAATTATTTATAAATGATTTGATTAGGTAGTGTTTTTAATATTAGCAATAATAATACATTTTTATTTTATAATTAATGCAATGTCTTTTCAATTTACATTTATATTTTTGTACTAGTATTTTTAAAATATTATCTATTCTTACATATTTTATTTACACTAAGCTCAAAATAGAATAGCACTACGACTAGGTCAAAACTAATGATTTCTAAAACAATTAGGTAAGTTACACTATTCACACAACATTAACGCGAAACATTTTGTGATAAAATTAAAGAACAAATAGAAATTAATTAAAATTAATTGTAAACTTTTATGATTCTAACAAAATATACATTAAACAGTTTTTAAAATAGATAAAAAGAAATTTGGGAACTGCTGGACCTTTTTGGCTGAGTGTTTGTTTTACTTTATGCTACGCTAGTGATGAATAAAAAAACTATTACATAAACTTGTAAACAAGATTGTTTTTATTACTACTAAATTACTGTTTATAAAGGAAAAAATATCAATAAAGATTAGGTTTAATAATATGGCCATAGAATGCACAAAAACATTTGGTGCAAAAGTCATATAATGATATAAGATGGGCACTAAAAACAAACACTTTGCTCCACAGTAATTGTTTATATAAACATCATAAATTAGGAAATGCTATGGTTATATATGGTTAAATCCGTTATTAAGAGTCCCATATAAAAAGGTATTCTTATTTTCAAAGTCAACAGCGAAACAGATGAAACTTTTATACAAACCGCAATTGCGTAAATGAAAAGTAAACTGACTAATGAAAAAAATATTTATTTGATTACCTACTCTATATAAGTATCCTAGATAATTGTGCTCAAAATTGCCTTATTATGCTTAGGTACATAAAATACAATGGAATAAAGTTATTTCATGCTTATGGTAACTCATCAAACTTAACATGATTGTCAACAATATAATATACGTATGTAAACATTAATATAAATCAAAAATTTACTTTTTAACTAAAATACCTAGCAAAAATAGTAACAAGTGTTTACATATTCTAACCGCTTTATAAACATCGTTAAATTTTAACAGCTATTGGCTATGTTATTTAATGTAGACATGTGTATTATTGAAAAACTTTGGACTATTTGATTTTCGTTAGTTTTGTAACATGTCTAGAAATTTGAATTTAAAAGTTATATAGGTAATATTGATTTATTTATACAGTATATCGTTACCTACATCATAAACACATTAAACTTACAGAAACATCTCAATGTTTCAGTAAGTGTCAAGTAGACCAGAAAGGGAGGAACAGTATTTACTTTTAAAACAGTAATAGAACATATCTTTTGTGCTTTTGTATTCAAATTATTCTCAAAAATGTACTATTTTTTATTATTATGCAATTAAGACATCTACTTTCTTGAGAATCTTCAAAAAAACAGATAAGTAAGTACTTTTTTTTGTTTCTGTGACTTTCTCCGTTTTACACAGAAATTAGTCAATAAAGATTAGGTAATTATTTTAGGCATCTTTTTGTTAATTATTTGGCTTTTATTAATTTACCTAGTGTGCTATTTAATTTATTCACGCAATATCTTAAGACTATTTCCACAATCTAAGTCTTATGGAAGCACTAGGGAATTTTCATTTAGCAGTATAAAACTTTCGAATATATACAAATGCTTCATGCTTCAAACTTTCTTTATCGTTTTCAAAATGACTTTTAAGCTTATTCAGTATCAGCACTAGATAAGGTATAAGTTTCTGTACTGAATATAATGAGCAAGTCACTTGATATAATTATGTTTAACTTGACAGAATATTAAATATTTTTATTACAATTAGTAGTTACATCCATTTTGAGTTTTGTTTTGTTTAGGCATTTATTAATATTATGAACATTAATAATTGAGAATAAGTTTTTAATGATTAAAACTTCATTACACTATATCGATAGTTAGATATTCTTTTTTATTTACTTTTATTTCCATATTGCATTCACTTCTTTAAATTTACTTCTAGCATATGTCCGCGATTTCGCCTGCTTAGAATAATTGGTTCCATATTTCTTTTAATTTCTTTCAAGTTTTATTTTTCGGACCAAAAGAAGTGTACCTACCTAAACCTATGTCTTAAGGTAAGGCTCCTAGGTCCCTTGTATCTCTTTTCCGTAATTTATCGAAATTAGTTCACTGTCTCCGACTTGAAATCCTTGCAGACAGACGAAGTTCGTCATACAACTACATTAGCTGTTTTTCAATAAAAAAAAGATCTTATTTGCGTTTAATCTGTACTATTCAAGTTTCTTTTAATCATTTGCATGAAATTGTTACGTTGCACTGCAAAAACAAAATCAAAATATAAAAAAGAAACAGAAAGATTTACTTGATACAGAAACGTCCATTTTAATTTTGCTATAACGGTCAGCATGATGTAACTTACTAAATCATCAGAACATACCAAACAGTACCTACTTACCTACCTAGTACTTACTATACAAAAATATAAAACCATCATGTTTGGCGTTGAGTGACTTGTATTCTGTGTACAATGTCCTTCCGAAATTTACCAATAACTGTTCTAAGTATTGCGTGCGCGATGGTAATGCGAGCATTGTATCACAAAATGTAGCTACGCACACAAACAACCGAATCCTAAATTGACGCAAAGGCTAATTCACTCTGGATCAATAGGAGCCGATCAATCATCGGCAACGATCAGTCTTACGCTGATGAATTTTTCCCTCGTTCATCAACTGTCGATGTCTATTCTCTAGGCGAACAAAGGGGCGCATTATGGGGTGATATTTTCGTTAAATAGCTATGTTCCTTTAGTTCATCTGTGGGCGCTCGTCTCGTCCGGCTTCACTATCTCGTAATAGTTCTCTATTGTGTAGTTGAAGATCTTGAAGTCATATCTGTAACAATCAAATCAAATATCATTTATTCAGTCTAGGCTGTTACAAGCACTTTTGAAGGTCGAGAAGCTACGCTATCGGTTCCCAAAACTACGGCGGGATACCTTATACTGTGTAGAACCGACAAGAAACTCAGCAAGGGCTCTTTTTTATGTATACAGAGTCGTCAAATTGAAAAATGACTTCAGAGATATTACTAAAGTCACCTTCCATTACATACCTAACTTCGAATAAGTATAGATATAAAGTTACAGTAAGTTTTATAGTGAGCTTTATATTTTTAGTGTATAAGTAGGAAGCTGCTTTAGATACCAAATTATTATTATGCGAAATGTCTAATACCCATTACAATAAAAATTACAAGAAACATTATGTCTATGCATTACGATCATTAAGATAATCATCAACTTTATAATAGCCCTTACTCATAAGGGTATTCTTGATCTGAGATTTAGGTCAGAGGAAGTTCAACCAGATCTTGAGGAACTTTATTAAACAGTGCAATACTACAACTCAGAAATTGAATTTTTAATGTTTGGAGTCTGAAATATGGATCGACAAGCTTGTTCACTGCCGGATTTAGGGGAGGGCAACCGGGGCGAAAGCCCCGGGGCCTCCACAAACGGGGGGCTCCCATAAAAGAGACTTGGGGAAAAAAATCTTTCAAATTCCAACTAGTAAACAGTAGTAAACATCTTTTCCTTTGATATTTTTTTTTTTGCTCTTTTACCTTTACCTACAGTCTACAGTACTTTGTACATCTAACATACATGATTATTTGATTATATTAATCTTAAATAACAGAAATCATTGATCTATATTTGTTCACTCCAATCAGGCAATCAGTGAAATATCAAAATCTCAATTTGCCCTGATCAGCACTTCCAATTCACTACCCATCTTGAGGGAGTACCCCAATCGCTCAATGGCTGAGTGCGGTGGTACTTGCCCGCAGGGCCGAATTGAAGGCAGGGCAGGTGGGGCTGTGGCCCAGGGGCCTCCACAACAGCTTAAGAAATAACAACATTTCGATGGGTTAACAAGAATACAAATCCTAAGTGGCCCGGGGCCTCCACAATCCTAAATCCGGCCCTGCTTGTTCTTAAATCTTGTATTAAAATTATGGCTTTAACTTTTTTTTGCGAATGCATCATAGCTTTTTCTTACATATATTAAATTTTTATAAAGGAATTGCAATGTTAGTGTTAAAATATATGTTAGTGTTATAATTCCTTTAATTTTTTTTTAAGTGAATCTCTTGCCTTCGAGTTGTAGGTATATAGCGCGAATGAAAATACTAACGATGTATTTTCATTCGCGTGCTCTCTTTTGCAGTATGAAAATACTATCGATATTAGCAGCTGAGCCCCACAACAAAGGACCATATGGCATAACGCTATGAAAGTAATTAAAGTAAACGAATCTTGCCGTTTCCACATCAGAGTCTACTCTCTTTCTACGAAACGAACTTTCGATAACGAAGTTCAAAAGAAATTTTATTTCTTCAATTCAAGGTTATACTTAATTTGAACGATAAACTATCAAATTGGAGCTTTCTTTGAGTAGGTTTAGAAAATCTACAGCTCAATCTATATTCCGTCGCCGAATATTATTATAATTTAAAACGAACCAGAAACAGTAAGAAAAGTGCGAAATTTCGTTCGAAATTTCGTTTTTCGTTAAATTAGAGTAGGCCTCCAGTTAAGAGTCTTACTTTTTTAACAACAAAAGCCGCGGAGTTCAGTCTGTTTGATAAGGCATCAATATGAGGATCCCAATGCAGATGCGAGTCTAAAGTAATATGAGTATTTCTGGGTATTAACCCAGAAACTTTGTAGAATCCAGTAACTCTACAGGCTGGTTGTTTATTTTTATACTAGTATTAATATCAATGTTGTCTGCTTATTATGTTGTTCTTCGGAACAATGAATTGGTACCTACATAAATTAACGTCATGATATTCGGGAGAGAGTTATTGCTTGCGTAAAAAGTAAGGCCCGTATTAAAGAAAGATTCTCAGTGATTGATCTAGTCTTGAGCATAGTTAGAAAGGGATGTCGCTATATAGAGCACATAGCGACATCCCTTTCTAACTGTACTCAAGTAAAGATCAACACTTAGTTGTAATTCTGTAATACGGGCCTAAGACAATACCCTTGGTATCGAGTTCTCTTCTCCATAACTTGGTAATGCGTTTTGCGGAACACGATTATCGAGCAGATTACTTACTTAGATACAAATCGACGATACTCTCTGGTCTGTTTCTAAAAGGGTATTTATTTAAGGTATTAAGTGACTTACTCGTAGAGCCTATAAAGGCCATCCAGCTGTGATTTGGTAATTCTTGAGTAGAGATGGCTGATATCGTGTAACGTGTTTGCCTTGCCGCTATTCCTCCACTCTGGTTTCACGATGTTCTGTAGGCGCGCCAGCTGTATTAAGAACCTTTGATCTTCCTGCAACAGTAGATGCAAATATAATTCGATTACTTACAACAGATACTTCTTTGATAAGATCAATGGCGGAAATGCAGTCGCGGCCGCCCTAGGCCCCAAGCCATCTGCCGCCCTTTTCTCAGCATCCATCATAGACTACATAATGAAGTTATTTTTTAGCCAACTTTTATTTAAACATAATAAGAAAATTAGGAAAAAAACAATAGTTTGATTTCGTAAGAATAAGGTACATAAGTTGTTACAACTAGTTATTTGCTCTAACTTACTCTTCCAACATGGCATACTTGGTTAAATTACTTTTACACGAGTGTAATCAACTTTTAACACCTAATTGAGAGTTAAATATTTGAATATCAAATTAAACACAATTAATTTGTACGGAACTACTTGTTATCGCAAGTACGGGTAGGTAGTGTGTAAGTAACTATAGTTTACTAGAATAAATAATAATAATAGCTGCTAATTTCTAATTTTTGAAGACCTTCAGTTCGTTACCATTTCAAATAACCGATCTTAATTTTTTATAGAGCACGAAAATGGAGAATTTTTCTGAAAAATCGTCTTCGAAAAATCGAAGTCAGTAGAATAACTTATTTGCAATGCTTTTCTTTGATTTCTGACGCGCTTAATTTTGTAAGATTAGGGTGTCAATTGGGGCCGCCCCTAAATCTGGTCGCCATAGGCCCGGGCCTATCGGGCCTTAGGGTAAATTCGCCACTGGATAAGAGAACAACCCTCTCTTCTCATTAGGATTGAGCAGACAGAACATTTTGGACCGAAGTTAAAATATCCTAAAGAATTCTTCAGCAAATTATCTATTAATGTAAAACATTTATTATGAAAATCAAAAAGAAACAGTTCCAACCATGCTAAAATGTAAGGCAATCAAGAGAATACAGTTTTCAATATTAAACAGACCGGGAATAATGTCTGAGATCTCGGAAATGGATACGTGTCAGTTAACCGCAACACTGGAAAGCCATAGAATCCTATTTAAATGTATTTAATTAATATTCTATGCGCGCACCCTACATCCGCCTAAGGTGTGGTCTCAAATCCACATTAGGGAAATTCCATTGTATTTAGTAATCAGATACCCAGACACGATAATGCCCCTTAGAATATTCGTAATAAGAGAGACATGGAAATGCACTGTGCACATACACCAGAGCTAGGTCTGTAGTCCAAATTTTGTATGGAATTAACAAGCTTGTGATATATAATTCACAAATTTGGTATTTGCTTATTTTTAAATTTAAACTTCCACCATCAGATCCTGACTTGGTTCCAATGGAACCAGCTCGGAAGTGCACTCTTTCGAATAAAAAAACAGAATAATAAATCACAAGTATCAGCAAGATCTGGGACAAACTTCCTTCAGTGATTTACCCCTTTAGCTATGATATGAAACAAAGGCGGGTAAACCTTTTCCTTCAGAGCCGGAAACAAAAGGGTCCTGTAACGCCCTTTGCGTTACGGCCTCTTTGCTTGTGTAAACTTTTTGCTTATGTAATGCCTACGGCTGGCAGTTATATTACAAAGTTAATATCATTATTTTAAAGATTTGAAATTGGGAATCTTCTGTCTTTTATGGAAGATTCCAGCAGGTAGAATTAAGGCACAGACTCGATCAGATGATTATTAATTAAGAATCATTATATTTGCTCTGAGATTAAATAAACCAAATGAAAAGTCTAATTCGTTATTATTGATTATCTGAGCCGCATCCCCAGGCCCATCCCTTCAGGATAGATCGCCACAATACCAACCCTTGGTGCTGCAAATGTTCATTGGCGGCAGTGACTACTTACCATCAGGTGGAGTGTCAGATTGTTTGCCTTTATAAAAATCACCATATATAAACACAAAAAGAATTCATCGGATAAAATACTCACGTCTAACGTCTCGAATTTCAATATGACGTCGAAGTTGAACTTGCACGGCGTACAGAAACCGGTGTACGGTGTCCAGTGCATGTCCAGCGCTCGCTTGGCCTTCCACTCGTCCAGGAGGTAGCTCACGAACTCCTCAAACAGCGGGTGCGTCTCAGTGGGCGCTTTCTGGTCTGCTGGCACCTGGCCATATGAAACTTGTATCGTTAAATGAATTTTAAACCGGTCTGGGATTCTACCGCCTATCGCTATAGCATTGGCTTATGATTTCATTTTGTTATTTCTGACCGCCGAAGGTTTTCAAATGTCCGCGCTTTTTTTTTTGTTCTTTTGTAATGTTTAATAACAATACAATCCCGATAGGCGGTAGACCCCCCGATTAACAATGATGAGCAACCTGACTAGCAATATGAAACTTCTATCGTCAATAGAAATAAAATTCGACCTGACTAGCAACGTAGGGTTTTGTTTACTATAGTGCAATGCAAGGCTGCAACGTTTTAATTACAATGATTCTTCTTCTTCTTTCTTTTTATGGCATGTCGAGGGGTACGAATATTTCCCCTTTTTACTTTTTTTTTGCTTTTTAGAGGCAAAAGAAATTCAGTAGTCTGTGATAATTTCAACCATTTATTCTAGAAATATCCACTGATTAACTAGATTCTATTACGGATCATGGGAGGTGAAACCCGCTGACATATCGAAATTGGTCCGGCAGGGCTCGCCAAACCTAAACTTAAATTTGACAACAGTATATCCTTGTCATTCTCGATACAGAATGAAAAGGAGAGACTGATGTTAAAGGACATTGTTCTGCGTCCATACATAGTTGGCCTAGGAACCAACAATCATGAAATATTATTTTCTAGGTTCGAAATCGCAAGTAAATGACTGTAAAAACAAAGATTATTGACGGACACTTCTCAGAACTTAAATTATTAGGAAAACTATTTTTTTTTGAGGTTATGTTTAATATTCATTTAAACATAGGTCAACCTATGAACTAAGTATGAAGTGAATTAGTATTACAACTAATTCATTTTATTCGGTGCTATTTTAAAGAATAACTATTAGGAAAACTTGGTTAGGTAGGAATCATGAATAAAATAAAACTGTAGTTTTGCTTCTTATTTATTGACTATTTTGCACATAATTGTATCATATTGTATATTATATTTATTTGTATATCACATGTATATTGTGTAAATGTGCAGCGTCAATGTCTATCAGGTGCTCTTGAATAATTTGGCAGTATGATCCTCTCAGGATGTTGTGGCACAGGTTCACAAGCACTTGGTAATAAGGTCTCTGCTCTTTGGTAACATCGATGGCATATTAGATAGCCGAAATAGTTAAATTAAAGGAAAAACAATCGCAAATAAACACAAGCTACAAGTAATCCGAAACGAGAATGCACGAATGCCACAGGATACTACGAATGCAAACTGCCTGCACCACAACCACAGAGTATCGAGTTTTATGCCGGCCCTTCACTTGACAACATTTTGTCCTTGTCATGCTAAATAAGGAATGAAAAGGACAGACTGATTTCAAGTTTTCAAATAGCAAATACAAATAGCCAAGTGAAGTGCCGGCATTAGGAATAAAGAGTGTTTTGCTTTGCAGCGCTGTCATAGATTATACACATAAAATGGTATTTATTGTCTCAGATTATTTTTTAACTTTTTTATTTAGCTTACTTAACTGGAAGTGTCCGTCACAATCTAAATACTGATAATTATCGCAAAAAATATACTAAGAATTATCATAATTGCCAAATTGGTGTTGGTTCTTAGGCCAATTTTAACATTGTCCTTTAATTTTAAGTTTGGAGAATCATGACAGAATCAACACCATTACCTACGTATAGAACATTAAGAAATTGTTCCGTTCTTAAACTTGAAATACGGTACAGTAACGTGCGAACCCTAAAAACTAAGAATCTCAACATTGTCGAGAGGAGTGCAAACGATTTGGCCTACCAACATCGGCGGTAACATAATTCCATAGGTGGTTCGTACGTAACCGAGCCACCCTAAGTATGTAAGATTATTAAGTAATTGATTTTGTATTGAGCGTAATAGAATTACCTTCCACGAAATTTTATGCTTTCTCGTAGTATTTCACGTTATCCATGCCATGTGATCCAATAACGAGCTTACTTAATACTTAGCTTAAGTTATTTTTGTGCTACTGTAATGTAACGAATGCCTACACGTGCTTGGATTATTTAAATTATTGCACGTTTCCTAATGTCACTGAAGGTTATATAGCTAGCAACATAATACTGGCCCATGATTAATACTGTAACTGTAGACATACTGTTAACTGATTAATGGTAACTTAAACAAAAACTAAACAAAGACAAAAACAACAATTAACTTAACTTTAGAGACTTATTTCCCTCCCTTTTACTATGACAGTTGGCGTGCTCGAACGTGCGATAAATTGTGCAGTGTAAATAGCGCGCTGACTTTCGATTTCAAGACATAGGGTGCGGCCAGAGTGCACTCAGATTCAGATTCAGATTCTGAAAACGAGCGCGAGAAATAAACAGTGTAGTCTAAGCAGGTTGCCTGCTTTTTCTCGCGCTTTGTTTTCTGAGTCTGAATCTGAATCAGGAGTGCACTCTGGCCGTACCCTTCGACTACACTGTTTATTTCTCGCGCTTGTTTTCGGAATCTGAATCTGAATCTTAATCTGAGTGCACTCTGGCCGCACCCATACTAGATATCGCACACTTGAAATTGTTCGGTCTAATTGTCCTTTTATACACAAGCGGCAGATCTCTAATAGTAAGCTTTTGAATTTAGATGAGACAGTGGTGTCGATTCCGGCAAGATTCTCTAAACCTAAACCTAATTTTTATAGTGTATCCTTATCATTATCTATACAAAATTAAAAGGAGAGAGAGACTGATGTTAAATTAAACTTCAAGTCACGGACCTAAAAAAAACTTTTTTTAGGTCCGTGCTTCAAGTTTAGAGAATTATGCCAGAATCGACACTATTCTCTTAATGAGGATGACATGACAGCAAATTCTGTAGTAGTTAAAGAGCTTTTAATTGTTTACAACAGAATGTCCGTTTACTATGAATAATTGCTAATAAAGTAAAATAGAAAGCATTATCATGAAGGACATTCGTTTGTGCATGCTGGGGCAGATTTCATCGATGTTCTTTATAAAGTACCTAAATTCATTGCATTTTGTTCTATCATTATTTTTTTTAGGTTATGTCGTTAGGTCTTCCATAGGCGCGGATGAGTTTTTGCGATATTTGCTTTTAGAACATTAAGTATGAGAACGGCTACGAAGTTACACACTGTTGCGATAATAACGACGCAATAGAAATATGTCGAAATATCGCATTAACGCATCCGATTTAACTGTGCGATAACTAATGCACCTACTCATTGGCGGGAGGCTTTGTTTATACTGCCCGCCTTGATACTTCTCAAAAAAATAATTAAAACTAGTTTTACCTTTCTGTATTTCTTCAAAATCTTCTGTCCTAATTTGTCGTGGAAGGACTTGGGCCATGCATGTACAATTTTGTCGTTGTACCCAGATGCCAGTCTCTCCAAAGGATGTCGAACGATTATGAACGCGATGGAATCCGCTTGTGCCTTCTTTATCATTGCTACAGTTGGTCTGCCATACTTCCGTCTCGCTAGTTCTAGAGGGACCTCTTTCGTCTTATCCAGAAAAGAAGCGGTGTAGTTGGCCATCAGGTTGAAATTGTACATCCATGATGTCGAGGCAGCTTTGAAAACGTTGCACCTGTAATTAATTTGCTTAATGAGCAAAAGCAGTTAATAATTTTAAAAAACATCGAAGGCATACAGTAAGATGTTAATTTAAATTATCATCATCATCAGCATTTAGGGACATTAATATGTCCCCACTGCTGGGGCACAGGCCTTCCCTATGGATGGAATAGGGAGATTGGGCCATGACCCACCACGCGGGCCCAGTGCGGATTGGCGGGTGCTAACGACTTCAGATGCAGCCAGGACCGACGGCTTCACGTGCCTTACGAAGCACGGAGGAAGTCGAGATAGAAAATTTTTGGTCACCCATCCAATGACCGACCACTGCGAAAGTTGCTTAACTTCAACGATCGCAGCCGAACGCGCTAACCACTTGCGCCATCAAGTTCCTGGTTATTCTAAATACTGCTAGAATTTTAAATCTTGTGTTTAAGAGGGGTAGGGTACAGCGGACTTTCCGCTCTAATTGGTGCGCCCGCGTCCGTCTGGGGAAGAAACTTCCACCTTACAGAACACCACAGTAAAATGACATTTTGGTGGTGTTGTGTTTCTGCTGGTGAGTAGGGTTCTAGGGCTCCGCGGGATAGGGGATTTGGTTGAGGTCGGGGTCAGTTGGGGTTTTGGGGGGCAGGTGAGGAAGGATGACTGGAGCGGCACAATTTCTGCCGCAGCATCTATCTTTGCAACTAGAGTCGACTTATACTTTATATCAAGTGGGCCGAGGTTTGTTGCGCCTCATATAAAAAAAACCTAATGTATCTTGCTTCAAAGCCTCGCCTGTACCAAAAGTGAAAAGCTGACCAAACGCTAGGCCTAAATTTATTTATGTATATATTTTTATTTGGCAATATATGTCGTATTTTAACACGTTCTACATATTTAATAAACATTTTTTTGAAGTAGCTCTAGGTAATTAGTTTTCAATACAACTAACTACGTATGAAGAACAATTTTTAAAAGCAATTTTTGAAAATTTCTGTTTACCATTCCAAATATTAGTAACTACATTTATGTATTTTGCTTTGTAACTTAACACAAAGAGCCGATCGCTTAAAGAAGATCAATTTTTAGAAGCTATTATTGAAAAATTCTGTTTAACATTTCAAATATTAGTAACTACATTTATATATGTTGCATTGTAACTTAATACAAAGAGCCGATCGCATAAAACAGCCACTCATCCTTGACTCTCCCTGTAACACACCCATAATTGAGTTTGCTTTACTTGTCATGCTATTGCTTTCACGTCACGAACACTATTACAACACGCATAAGAACGTTATTCGTACAAAACATATCTACACGTATAGGTACAGCAAAATTTATTTACTACTTATCACTTCGCATGTCTAAAGTAATTTATCATAGGAAATTGGATGTACTTCATAGAATTTTTATGGAGAATCGATGTTTACACGCTATGCATGTTCTCCTGTCCTGATAGTATGGTCGGACATGCGAAAGTGTCTAAGTAAATTTAGTATACTATATTTTTATTAATCTGCGTGACTCACTTTGCGTGGTTGGCAGAATCGTCAAAGGTGAGCCAATACAATACAATTGTTAAATACAACCCATTTTTTTCTTAATTCATTTGATAAGTACAATACAAGTACAAGGGTTTAGGTACAATGGTTTATAACAATGCCTAGTGATGTATAATGAAAAAAAGAATCATATATTTCACAAAGTTGGAAAAAATATGTATAATATATAAAGAACTTAAGACCGTTGTGTTTTTTCTAAATTAGTTTTTTTTTCAAGATCATCATTAGCTTTAGCCCGCATCAGTCCAGTGCTGGACATAGGTCTCTACCATGGCACGCCATTGAGCTCGATTTTCAGTTGTACTCATGCAGTACCGCTGCTTTCTTTTTTTTGCTTCAAGAGGGGGTTAAAGAGATAATACATGTATGCATTTATATGAGATAGTCTAAAACCTCGCCTCATATCTCCATAGAGGGAGAGGGGGTAAGAAGTTGCCTAAAAACATCACGTAATTAATGGATGACCCCTTATTAGAGTCCTAGAGTTCTTTAACCGACTACAAAAAGAAGGAGGTTCTCAATTCGGCTGTTAATTTCTAGGTTCTCAAGTCTTTCGAAGGTAGCTCGACAAAGTAAAAAAAAGAAAACATTATTCTGACGAAGCATTCCTGCAAAGGCTGCGAAACGTCAATAAATAAAATTAGTGCATGTAACCCGTTGAAACTTGTTTTATTTAATGAGTGATGTGCGTGAAAATCTAAGAAACAAATAATGTTAATGTGTAATATTTATTTATTTATGTATGTACCTCCAGCACACCGATTACGCCGAGATATCGGATCCCATTTACGTGATTCTTTTTTTGTCCGGTGTGGAATATTTGCCATTTGGTCCTATAAAAATTTAATTACGTTTGTTTAAACATTAAAACGTCTATTAAACATGTACCCAATTGTACTTTATCGTTACGTATGCGTTTTCCTCATACGCTGATTTGGATACGTATCGCTATTGACTCGCATGTAACTTTTCCCACGCTATTCCTGACATATTTTGTTCATACTTTGTCTGTATGCATTATACTCGTACATTATCCTCATATCAGATAACTAATCGAACGTGGGAAGGCTAAGTAAATAAGCTTTTCATCTTGTACCTACTAGTTTCCTAAAACAACGTAAATATTTGCGATATATATTACTCAATCAGGTAACTAACTAAATGGATTTAGAAGAACTAATTTGATATTTTTTAGGTTCTTCTTGCCCCCCGTGGTCATTCGGAAACAGGAGCCGTGACCACACGCGCCCTCTCGGCACGCACTAGGTGGACCGCGGTCCTCATTAGTGCGTGTCGGGTGACGGTGCAGGAGTATTGTCTGGTTTTTAGTGGCCCTGTTCAGGGCGTAGGTAGGGCCCTGTTCACTTCAGCGAGCTCCAGAGCTGGCTGAAGGGGACAGGGAGGAGTCCCACATACCTTCTTCTCGCTCCCCCAGTGGTTGAAGGAAGCGTAAATCATTTCTCAGACACAATCATAATCTTTATTTGCTAAATACACAAAAAAAAAAGGTTCTTCTTGCCCCCCATGGAATATTATCATGTCACGTATTCACGTTCATACATACCTTTTTTATGTCTGGGAAATGCATTACGTATCCTTCAACCGCTGGAGTAATGACAACAAGTTATCGGGGAACCCTCCCTGCTCATTTCATCCAACCCTGAGGATCTACGAAATGAGCGGGGGCCTACCTAATGCCTTTAACAGGGCCAGTGAAAACCAGACAATATTCCTATACCGTGTCACCTGATCCGCATAGCTAGGACCGCGGCACCCACAATGCGGATCGGGAGTGCGGGCGGTGGTGCGGCACCGTTACCACCACCCAAACGTAGTGTTATTTTACTGTGTTCTTCTGTAAGTTGGAGGTTACTTCGCCAGACGGGCGCTCCTATTTGAGTGGAAAATCCGCTAAGCCTTACCTTTATTAGTAAATTATAGTTTTAAGTACAGAAAATTCCACCACACAGGCCCAGTGATTGGAAGATGCCTTTCGAAGCACGGAGGAGCTTAATATTTTTTTAATGTTAAAAGGGTGGCAAACATAAATTTCTATATGATGTTTTTGGTCCCCCATCAAATGATCGTCCACTGCGAAAGTTCCTTAACTTTCACGATCTGAGTAGGTCTGCGACGCGACTGCGACGTGCTCACCACTAGCGCCATCGAATTCCTGAATAATTTTTATTATTAAATTTTATTAAGAACCTAAGTACTCACCATATGACATGGTACTGCCTATTCACCAAATACTCCCACGCATTGGCTTTGTTGCTGGAGCTGTCCAAGCCGAGCTTGGAGCACTCGCTCCTCATGTAATCCTGACGGGCTTCCATTCTAGCCCCGACTTCCAGGAACTTCTCTCTCGTAAGTAGGTTTTCGTCGTGAGTGCCATTTTCGAAAATAAACTGGAACAAACATCGTAAATTTAATCCCTGCATTCAATATACTCAGTTATTATAAAATTTCTTTGTATTGCGAAGAACCCTGACAGGGAAAAGCAGTGTCTTAGGCAATTGAAATTTCCATTGCAACTTGCAAGTGCATTGGAAATTTACTAAATAAGAATAGGAACACTCAGCTCCAGAAATATCCATAAAAATATCGTGCTTACTAGGCGAGGGTAAGTGCTGAGATGCTGTGGCAAAATTAAACTATGTTTTAAAGTGTTTTTTTTTTATTATATCCCCATATTTTTTTCGTTCACCTCTAGCATGACGCATTACGTTTTAATTATTATTGAAAAATGCAGACCTTATTAAACAAGCATCGATGCAGTCGTTCAGTAATAGAAAGCTCGCCTGCTACTCGGGCGGCCCTGGTTCAATTCCTACCCGATGAATGACTTTTTTGGTTTCCAATTTTTATAAGCCAGAAAATAAAATTGAGTCAATGTAACACACAAAAACACTTTAAAAGTTTTACTTGCAATTTCACAAATCACACTTCCATTTTTGTCAGCCCCGGGCAGCTCAGATCCATGGATCTGGTTGATCATGGATCAAGAGTGAGTGATAGTTGAAGTAACGCAGCATGCTGTGCTACTTCAACTATCACTCACTCTTTTAAACGCTTAAGCGTTAGGAAATGGGTTCAGGGTATAGCAAGCTTTTGTTGGCTTCGATGGCCGCCGCTTACCATCAAACGAGTTATAGGTAGTAATTGTGTTTGAATTTAAGTATTATGAAATGTAAAAAGAGCCCTGAAAGCAATCTGGAAGTTTCTCTAATTAAAGATACTTCCCAATGTTACTATGACAATCATTTGGATATTTAACCTTGAACATTATCTACATCTTGCAATCAATCCATTTCCACGTTCATTTAATTACGCATTGTTTGATGTGAAATGTTGACAAACTATTGGCCGTGCGTGACACTTCAATTATGGTTCGGCCAGTGGCGAACCCTACCTAGGGCCAAGAGGCCATGGGCCGGGGCAGCAGATTAAAAATACACCTTTGTGTTCAACCTTATGTACACGTACTTTACGATATTGTTTTGTCACGTAAGCACGAGTATGCGCTTACAAAATGAATGACAGTTAATTTACTAATTGGCTATTATATTAAGCTAACAATAATTAATTAAGTAGGTGACATAAAAAAAAATACAAACAATAATGAATGAAGTAGTTGACGTAAAAAAAATACGCACATGCTTGTTACTCTGTTATGCTTTACGCCGTCACGGCTATTTGTTAACTTGAAAACTTTGGATGAAAACTTGCTTATTATATTAAAACATACTCCAAAAAACAAGAGAAATATTTATTTAAAGGGATTTTTTAAGTAAGTATTTCTTTATTTTTGCCATTATTGTTTGCTAGGCATGATTTTTGAATTAATAAGGAGGTGAAATATTAAAACTGCTTAAAAATAAAATGATGGGTAAAATGCTAATAGTTGGTTTAGTGATTTAATGCTTATAAGTAAGTAGTGCTTTTTATACAGTTGTATTATCGATACAAAGCAATTCAGAGCTTTGTAATTTATAAATTTTTAGAAACTGTTTCTTTGTAATTGGCGTCTTGCATGTGACCAATGAACGAAATGACGTTTTGTTTGCGCTGAATTTAAATGCAATTAAGAAAGATGGTTCAACTCTCCCACCTGGGCAAGTCTCCCGGTTTTTCCCTAAGTAGTGTCTAATGTTACTTTTAAAACTATTAGGCTGATTTAAAAATACCATCTTAGATTTTTGTTTCGGTGGAATTTTGATGTTCGTATTAAGTATATGCATAATCAGGTTAGTTAGATAATAGCGTCACTAACGACAGACATGTTTGTTGAACCGGTATGTTTATGAAATATGCAAATGTTTTGATTTGAGATGTTGACGTAACTGAATTTCTAAGATATACTTAATAATAAACAGTACACATATCTTAATCTAAATAAAGCTTTAGCACCTCAGATTAAAACAAATCTAAGTTTAGCACCTCCTTTTAAACAAGTTAGTGTTTCTGTAGAGAAAGACCGCAGTGCCGTTAAATTGTTTTAGGGAAACGCTCAAAGTTGTTTAGTGCTTTAATTAAAACAGATTCCTAATTGTTTTTTTCTTTATTCAGTATAAGGTTTTTCAAGACATTAAGATGAAAATTTAAAAGCTACTTACTCTATGGCTTCTCAAACCAGAAATCGCGGGAAATCTTGAAAATTACCTATTGAGAAGAACTGGCCATGTAAAGCCACAAAATAAGTATAAGTATTTCATATTACATGACAAAAAAGGTATCTTGGGCGTAAGCATCCATACAATTTTGAAAAAAATTACCTCGCTACTTGTAAGTTTGTCAATAATTTAAGAACGAAAACGGAATTAAGAATTAAAAAGGCAATTTTGTTTTATAGTTCGGTCAAATCTATATATATAAAAATGAAACCCGTTTTCCGTTGTCACGACATAACATGAAAACGGCTTGACCGATTTGGCTGATTTTTTTTTAGAATATTCCTTGAAGTACGAGGATGGTTCTTACGAAGAGAAAAATTTAAAAAAATGCCTGGAAATGTCAAAAAACAAAACTTTTCTTTACTCCCATACAAACGATTCGTAATAATACTTAAAAGTCAATTTGAACTTTAATACCATACCATAAATTTCAAATGTTAGTGGAGAGATTCTGGGAAGGCAAAACAATTGAGCGACGTGATGTCAATAGAAGTTTGGAAAAGATAAATATACCATCTTCAGTTTATTTATAATCTATATATATAAAACTCAAAGGTGACTGACTGACGTAGTAATCTATCAACGCCCAGCCCAAACCACTGGACGGATCGGGCTGAAATTTGGCATGCAGGTAGATGTTATGACGTAGGCATCCGCTAAGAAAGGATTTTGATCAATTCTACCCCCAAGGGGATAAAATAGGGAATGAAAGTTTGTATGAAACTTTGTCAATTTTAAAACCGAACGGGCTGAGACTTTGCATGCAGGTATAAGAATAATCATAGATGAATGTCATTGTGTATAAAACAAGCCTGAGAACAAAAACTGTAGTCTACGCTTCAGCTCTACACCGAAGCGAAGCGAGGGCAGGCCGCTAGTTAGAAATAAAAATAAGAGTTATAAGAGACGACCTCCGTGGCCGAGTGGTTTGTACGCCGGGTTTCATGGTGTCGCTGACTCGAGAGGTCCCTCCCGGGTTCGAATCCCGGTGGGGGCAGATGTTTGTTTGATGAATACGAGCATTTGTACTCCAGACATGGATGTTTAATATGTATTTCTATATAAATATACTTATTTAAGTACAGTATATGTATTCTATCCGTTAACCTAGCATCCCATAACACAAGCCTTATAGTGCTTACTTTGGGCCACGGGTAATTGGTGTGATGGAAATATTTATTTATTTATTAGTTAAGGTACATAAATTCACATCAATCTGAAAGTGAGAAAAATTGTTCAAAACATAATTAAAAATAACATTTCAAAACTCCCCATCGTTCCGGTACTTGAAAATAAAAAATCGAGGTCAAAGATAAAAAAGTGGTGTTTGATAAAAATCTTGAGATTTTTATCAAAACGGCAAGTTTTATCGTAAAATTACTACAGACAAATATTGTATATATTATAAAATTATCTATCAAAAGGTATTAATCTTTTTCTTCCAAGAGCCACCGTTCCTGAGATATAACGATTCAAAGTTGTAAGCGTCATAATATGCACACGTTTCAACGCCACCTCTGAGGTAGTGTACTTAGCGCGCTTTTTTTACGTGGTTTCCCCAGTAGGCCTTTTCCACCCGGTCTGTTGAGATTCTGTTTAATTGGAAACTTTTGCATAGTAACAAATATAAAAGCAAGGGTGGAAATACTGCCAGCCTATTGGGCACCATTCCTGATCGCTGGGGGTGATATATATTTTATTTTGTATATTTAATATTATTTAATTACTAAGTTATTTCTGGTTTTTAAGTTTTTAGACATTAAGTAGTTTTGAGCTTTTGTAATGTTAAATATTTCTATGTAAATATAAATAAATTAGTAAATTAGTGTTAAAAAAAGCAAGGGTCGAAATTGAGAAAAAAAAAATGAAAATTATAAAAAACAGTAGAAAAAAAATATTCGTCCGATCCATAATCTTCAATTACTTCTTCTTCTTGTTTTTCTTCTTGATCTTCTTCGTCTTGATTTTTGTCTAATGTAATTTTACAATTAAACTTACCGATTTGATGAAATGAAGCGAATAACCAATTTTTAACTCAAGAGTAAATATTTTCCATGTACCGGAGCGACGGGGGAATTTGGATATGTTATTTTTAATTATGTTTTGAACAATTTTACTAATTTCCAGCTTGATGTAAATTTATGTACCGTTGAATGTCTAGATTGACTGGACTAATGCATCTATTTGATAATGAATGACTATACTTCAGTGGGTATTTCTATAAATTTGGATGAATATATAACTTTTAACTTAACACTTAAACTTAACTTTAACATTACGAATTCAATGATTCTTTGAAGTTAACTTACATTGGGCTTGTACCTACTTATGTACAAAACATGTTAAAAATAGATTTGACACTTGTACTATAGTACTATACTATCACGTATAAACGATGACTGTAGGTGACTTTCGCCTCTGACTCTGAGAGCCCTCTTGCAACCTCCTTTCTAGACAGGTATAAGTGGAGACATAGAGGCACAGTTGAAACGGAATTATAAGTTGCATAGTTCTAACTGGAATACCAGCTTTATGTCTAAGAAACAGCGTCGAGTTTAGTCTGTATCAGACGCGAAGATTGTTTTACTGGAAGTTTTCGCAACACAGTCAATGCATCAATGAAAGTTTTATTGCTTGTTTTTCTTCGATCTCTTACGAGGGATGTCCCGATATTTCATTACTCATAATTATAGTTTTTTTATCTCTTTATGAACTAACATTTGAGTTTCTTTCTTTAAATACGCGTAATGAATTAAAGAGTGAATTCTTGCTGTGTTGAATTTAACGTTAATACTTTAGGTGCCTCTTTTGCCTACTGAAAGAATATATTATTATAATGGCTAATAATATTTTTTGCTAATTTATTATTCCTTTAAAATTATCCCGGCTTACAAACATTCAGGTAGGTAAACTTCTCTGTTATTTTTCTGATTAATGGTTTTTTTATGAACAGTCAGTAAACCCTAACCACTTTGTGACTTGGAGTTTTTTTCGCACCGCTAATGTAACGTGGAAATATTTCACTTTTATATTTTTAACACGCTCATGTGGTTCAACAGAATTGACTTTATGATGACGTGACGATTTTATTTAAATTTTAAAATACATCATTCACATCTCAAAATTGTTGTACCATATAGCATATCTCATATACTTAACAAGGCTGAAATCCAAGAAGATAACCAATATTTTATTTTTGAAAAAATATAGTTTTAATGTATTGTTTAATTATGTACTTTACTTATGACCACGCGTGGTCCGCGTGGAATTTTTTCTAGTTATATTTTCTTTAGATTTAAACATCAAGCAGTTACATGCTTTAAAAATAATAAAAATTATTACTTAGATAAGTTAAAAAACTGGTTACCTAGGTATAAAGGGTGTAAAAAAACCTTAAACGAAGTCGAAGGCCACGTATTTTGCACATCATGACCATAATTTTTTTTTTGCGGACCATACCTGGGAAAATTATGGTTATGGAGATATTGAAGGTCAAAGTCACAATTTTTGTATTAGATTTTTACAAAAAAAATATTTAGAAACCTTTTTGTTGACGCACTTACACACACGCACACACATACCCTGTGTGTATTGTTTGCGTAGCGCCACAGTAGCGCGCCGCGCTATACCTTGCGTACTGGAAATAAAATGTATTTTTTTAACTTAAAAATACAAATGTTTCCCACGTATAATATTTTATTATATTACTTGTTTGGGTGTACCGAATGCATAGTTCTAGTCTTTGTCACAGGTTTTTTTACACCTGTTAATACAGGGACACCTCGGACATAATTGTCCGAGAATAAAACTATGCAGTAAGTAATACCTACGTTTTTAAGGAATTAAGGACCGGACCGGAATGAAGGAGCGGTCTTCTCCTAATACAGGTAACTTAACTTAAAAGAAGAAGAACACCCTCACCATGTAAAGGACAATGGGCAAAACGCACCTAGCTCCGCCAACAATGTAATTAGTATGAATCGATAGATCTATGAAAAACTAGCCCTTTTTATTATGGCACCAAAAAAAAAATAACCTGGGGGTCAAAAGATATACACCTGGGTATGTTCTATATTAGGGGTTCAGGTTTCCGCACATAGTCCTTATAGACGACCTTTGTGTGTAAGTCATGGGGACCGGTTACACACGGGCATACTTAAATAGCTCCTTATAGAGAAGCTCGATGGCGCAGGTGGTTAGCGCGTTCGGTTGCGATCGTTGAAGTTAAGCAACTTCCGCAGTGGTCGGTCATTGGATGGGTGACCAAAAACATCTATCTCGAGTTCCTCCGTGCTTCGGAAGGCACGTTAAGCCGTTGGTCCCGGCTGCATCTGCAGTCGTTAGCACCCGCCAATCCGCACTGGGCCCGCGTGGTGGGTCATGGCCCAATCTCCCTATTTCATCCATAGGGAAGGCCTGTGCCCCAGCAGTAGCGACATTAATAGGCTGATGATGATGATATTTAAATAGCTAAAGAAATTCATTCAATATCAATAGTACTTTCGTTTTATAATATTAGCAATAATAAGTGAGTGAATCATATCTTACTGTACAACCAGATACAAAATACTAAACAACAAAGCCTACCGACTATCCTGCTTGCTTTCTGCTTGCACTTACTGAGACTCCTCAAAAGGTCTAACAGGGTATGGGGGTTGAAGGATGTGATATTGCAGTTGCCGTTGCAACTAGTCTACTCGTATGCAGTCCTATGTCTTACATTTTGTGCGCTCCCTGTTATTTCATTGATATTTAACTAACACGCTTTAGAAATAGGAACACGATTATCATCGCATACGTCATTATAATCGTACGAGCTAATAAAAAATCTATGGTTCAATTTAAATGCTCGTACTCAGCACACAAACATCTGCCACCAGGATTCGAACCCGGGACCTCTCGAGCCAGCGACACCATGAAACCCGGCGTACAAACCACTCGACTCGGATATATTCATTGACGACCTCCGTGGTCGTCAATTAATATATCCGTTCTATATACTCGTCCTTGTATCTTTAAATATTATGTTCGTTATAGTTACTTTTACCTATGGAATTGTACCTATTTAACTTAAAATAACTAAAGACTCCCGGGATGGAATTTGATGCGCTTTGGCACAAATGATCATGACTATGATACCTTTCAAACAAATGTAGTTTAAGCCGTGGCGGACGTGGGTGCAGTGTCCATGCAATTTTGCCCATTGTCCTTTGATGTAGAAGAATAATAAAGATTTTTGTACGTTTAAGTTTTCATCAGAATGGATCAAATACACTATATACCTATGAATGTATTTGAAGTGGATTTGGTTGACCAGAATTGGTTTAACACAACTTACAAATAGTCTTTATGTTTACAAAATTTAGAGCCACTTTTTTAACTATATATAAAAATTAAATTTAAAATCCAGTTTGGAAGACTGTATTTGCTAAATGTAGGTTGGATAATATTTATTGAAAAAAAAAATTGCTAAATTCGTGATAAATTTTGTTTTTGAAGTAAAATTTAACAATATTTGACACAAGGTATCCAAAATTTTGTAACTCTCTGCAAGAGACAGATAGCCGAACGGTGCCGGTCTTGGTCTCGACACCACATGGTCAGTGGATCGACCCTGAGCTCGGTTATTTTATTGTTTTTTTCAGCTATTATTTACTTTTGGAAATAATTTAAGTATAGAATATTTAAATTTGCCCGGTACTTTACTATACCTGAATAGTTAAATAGTAAACGTTTGGTAGGCGCCTCAGTTGTTTATTAATACAGGCTTAGTTTTTATCAACAATCCTTACCTTTACAATGTTTGCAATTTTTTACAGTAATTTAAAAAAACTTAATAAAATAAAAATAACTGGTAACAAATAAAGCCTCGGGTGGCT